GGAAGCCAATGGTCAGGAGACAGGAGCCACACCTCAGGGCAGCAAACACAGCTGAAGTTTACACACTCCTTGGATGATAGAAGATCATCAAGGGAGTTTCAAAGCCTTGGCATACCCTGCTCGTTTTAGCCTCATAATGATCCAGGCCAGCTCTGAGAGTAAGAAGGCTCTGGAAGCAGAGTGCCAAGAGCTGCAATGGAGGGACGACAGTCCCTGTGGGTTGAAAGCATAAATTTCACCTTAAGGATGCTGACCAGCAGGAAGGCCTCACAATGATGTAATCTGTCCGACGAGTTCCTGTCTCGGAGACACGGATGAACTTTGTCCAGATAAATCACACGAGCTACCATCCCCATTCCAGGACTCTGTCTATGCCTAAGTCTGGGGAGGACTTTTCCAGAAAATTCATTCATACTAAAAGGGACCACGAGACTACATGCTTCTCACCCCTTGGTGGTCACACAAGGCCTATTGTTGTTGCTGGTCTTCAAGTTGCCAGTCAGTTCCACCGTGGGACATGCAGAGTAGGTCATCACAATGAGAACGGATATCTCGGTACAAACGCGCTGCGACGGGGAATGTGGGCATCAGGACCTTCCATGGGGTTCGTCAGAGCACCACCATTCAGGACAGAAGCGACTCCTGCAGGGACAGGAGCTCGGGGTCCCACAGCAGGTTCACTAGGAACACACTTAGGTGTGGCCAACCTCACATAACCCCTGCCTATCTGGGCCACAGGTAAACCTGCCTCAGACCTTGAAACCTGAGGATAAATGCCCTCAGATCCAGGTCTCTGGAAGATGAACACCTGAGGCTCCTTCCTCCATCCTGTCCTGTGTCATTTGTTAATTTTCTTTCACCCTCATTCCTCACTCCTATCTATCCTCCCCCAACAAGCCACCCCTTTTAATGCACATCTGTACCCATTTTTGCAAATGTTGTATTGTTTCCTGTGCACGTTATTTTTAGCGTCTGTAAATGATGCTGTCGCATCTATTTCTTGCTTTGTTCACTCAGCTATTGTTAAGGTCCATGTTTGTGTGTTGTCTGCAGCTTGAAACTGCTCTGTAGTACCCTGTAGTCAGTGCTTGCCACTGACTTTTCCCAGAACATTCTCCCATTCTCCTGGTGAGGAACATGACTCATCCCTCCCCCGGGCCCCACCCCACCCCAGTCTCCTCCATCACTACCGCCCCTCCCACCACATTCACCCTGCAGTGAGCATCCTTACACATGCCTGCTTATGCACCCGGGCAATCACTGTGTTGGGAACGTTTACCCAGACGTATAATTTCTGGACTGTGGGGCATGCACAGACTTCACTTAATGAGCTGTGCCTGCTGCTTCTCCACGACGGCCACACCAACACTGCAATGTGGTCCCCGCGTCTCTGCCGACACTTGGCATTACCCACCTTTGCACTTTTTGCTAATCTGAGGGGTACAAAAAGCTACCTACTTGCTTAGTTTTTGTTCCTCTGATGATTGAGTTTGAACATCTCTTCACAGGCTTGGTAGACTTTGGGGTCTGCTTCTATAAACTGCTCAATCCCTTTACCCAATTTTTCTATTGGGGTTGTCTTTTTATTGTTGATTTGTAGGAGTTCCTGGTGTACTCTTGGCAGTTCATCCTTTTCTGGTTTCAACCACTGCAAACATCTTCTCTCAGCTCTCACACCTACAGTTAGGCCTCTTGCCAACCATGAAAACAAATTAAACAGACTAAGATATAAAAGAAGGTGGGTAACAGAGAGGAAATGAAATGGAAAGCCAATTGTCTGGGTGAGTTTAAAACTAATAATATTAAAACGAGAAAAATAATGGAAGAAAATATTGACAGAACAAAAACAAAAACTTAACTGAGGTTTCTTTTGGTACCTAAAAGTACAAAATAAAAGCTAGAAACAAATCAGCAAAGCATAAAAAAGATCAAGAAGCTAAAATCAAGGTTAAGGTAAAAACAATTCTTAACAAAAACAAAAAGGAGTATAAAAATGAAGCAGTTCTGACACGTCTGTATTCTTTTTCCAATTTCATGGTAAAAAGGGGGAAAAAATGCAGAAGTCAGAGAGGTAAAGTTTAAAAGGACAAAGCACATGCACAAGTGGAAACAAAGCAGTAAGAGATAAGAGTAAACGCAGTAACAGCAGATACTAAGCAGACCTCACTGTACTTCAAAACAGAAAGAAGTGGGAAGGAAAGAAAAGGCTAAAATAAGCCCGCTGAAGGCCGATCTGTAAGTCCTTGGCCAATCCTGCCATCAGGGCCCTTGGAGCCCAGAGGTGAGGGCAGCAGGAGGCAGGAGCCTGAGCTACTTTTAGATCATGTGTTTGTCCCATGAGTCTGGGGCCACTGAGGAGCCTGGCCCGGACTTCTTCTGTATTCAGAGCCGCTGTCCAAGCCAAGGTCAGCAGACAAGCCCTGGGGGCAGCTGTGCTGGGCCTTTGCCCAGCTCGGAAGATTCTGGGGCACCACCACTGGGCCCCGGTCACCACACCGACTCCCTCGTGAACGCCCCAGCCTCCCCGGCCTGCTCACTGCTTTCAGTAGAAGCCAGGGGGGTGCCGAGGCCACACAGGCCCCAAGGCTGCACTGGGACCTCTTCTGCCAGCAAGAACACAGCCTGTGTAGACAAGCTTGGTACCACCCAGGAGTGCACAGGGTAACAGCTCCGTGATTCACCAGATAGCGGAACGTCATGCTGGTTTGCCAGAGGGAGCAATGATCCAGGGGACCCAGGACAAGCCCTGTCATGCACACACTCCAGCTGCTCACCCAAAGCGGCCAGCTGCATGTGAAATGTTGATTTGTAGGAGTTCCTTGTGTACCCTTGGCATTGGGCACTTCCAGGTTCAATGACAGCAAGATTAAATGGACAGGGAATCCAGAGTTCCACCATCCTGTTGCAGCACGAGTCGGAAGGCTAAGGAAAAATCCAGATGAGTCACTGGAGCGTGGAAAATATCTGATCTTATCTAAAGGTGAGGTAAGGGATGTGGAGGCTGAGACCCGCTAACTTGAATCTTTCCAATTATGTAAAAGACAGGTAGTCTCCCAGCTGCTGCAAAGTTCACGAGAAAGTCAGCAGCTTGGCAAGGCAGAGGCACTCCCCTAGGGCTGCGCTGCTGGATGCCGACGTTGCCAGCAGGCCTACGGTCTGCGTGGCCCATAACCCGAGGGGCCCCGGCCTTGGGGATCTCTTCAACCAGTTTCCATTTTTGTCTTGAATTATCTTTTAATGGGGAGGCTGATGTAAGATCGTTGGAACTTTATTTTTCCAAGGAAAACATTTCCAAAGTACCGTCTAATTATCACCACCATTTTCCAAAAGAAAAACATTTGGCACACACACAAAAGACTAAGGGAAAGACTTTTACAGACTAACTTAAGCTTTCAGAAACGTGCACTACTGCATGTTCCCCATGTTGGAAGGGCAGTCAGGAAAACACCTCCACGTGACCCCACGATGTCACTGACCAGGCCATCGGCACCGGGTCCTGCAAAGTGCAGCTGAGTACGGACTAGAAGGCCAGGGGACCCCAGACTGAATGGCGGCGCCCGACCCACCAGGGGGAAGGTCACAGGCTATGCTGACATCAGGCAGCCGTATGCTGGAGCGCAGAGCTGGGGCCCGTGCATCCCAAGTTTGCAGCCAAAGTGAAACATTCAGCGGGGACGTTGCAGGGTGGAATATGAGCACAATCCATATTCACCAGGAAAGGGTCTTGTGGGGAAGCCTCTTCTAGATGCCACCCTGGCCTCCGCGGTGCCTCCCACTGGGTGGCTCTCGTCTGCCAGCACAGTCACTTGCCACCAGCCCACAGCCCCGGGGCCCAAGCGTTTGCTGACTGACCAAGTCAGCAAGCAGCACCGGCCCACCCTCGGGGAGACGGCTCCAGGAAAGAGCTACCAGCAGAGCAGCTCTAGCTCGGGCCTACAGGTCACCACCACCTCCACCCTGCTTCCAGCACAAACTCCCCTCCACCCCCTCACCTCAGCACCTGGCGTCAAAGACACTGCAATGCTATTGGGAATGTCACCAAAAACACCTGAAAGCCTGATGTGGGCCTGAGGAAACTGGCTTGCGTGGAGCTACGTGGAGCAGGGACAGTCCTGGGCTGCCTGGCAGTCCGGCCATGCTGGCTGCAGTCCCGGCTCTCTGAAGCCAGCGGGGGCACGACCGGCTAGCAAGGCTGCATGCTTGTAGATGTGGGAAGGGGACCTTCAGCCGGGCCGGGCCTCTGTGACTGCTGCCTGCCTCCCACAGTGAGGGCCCCTCTCCACCCTGAATGGCTGCCCTGCAAGAGGTGGAGGCTCCAGGGGCAGAGGCTTGGAGCCAGGCACTCAGGCAGAGGCGGCCAGTGACCCCATGCTCCCTTCAGTCTGTGCATACCCCCTTCGCCCGTCGCCACTTGTTTGCTCTCCCACTTTGGATCTCCAGTCTCAGCCCAGAGGGTGCGGGTCCTGTAAGCCTTTCCTCCTCCCACTCCTACAGCAGCTTATCACCATTAGCCATGGTCCTAAATTCAGATTTCACAAAAATAAGTGTTTCTGACTTTTCTATGGAAAGATCCCAATCAGAAACTGGCAAAAAGTAGCACCGCTTTTGGACTTTATTTAAACAACATCCCACCGTTTACTCTCATGAGTCTAGAAGGCGTAGGGTCGTAGTGATCTTGCTTGATGAGGCTCCTTGTGTCCACGGAACCTCAAAAGCCACTGTACCTCCGAGACATCAAGTCCAGGCCTCCCTCAGAAGAATTCACTGGACCATCTTAAAATACAGACCACAGGGCAGCCCAGGTGGCTCAGAGGTTTAGTGCCTGCCTTTGGCCCAGGGCCTGATCCTGGAGACCTGGGATTGAGTCCCACATCGGGCTCCCTGCATGGAGCCTGCTTCTCCCTCTGCCTGTGTCTCTGCCTCTCTCTCTCTGTGTCCCTCATGAATAAATAAAAACAAAACAAAAAAAAAATACAAACCACAAATACCATGAGTAGGGAGGGAACACATTTACTTGAGGTACAAAGGTTTACTATTATTAACAAGTTATCGCTATTATTTACGTGTTTACAAAATGGAAATAAAAATGACATACATGTTTGGTGCCAAAGTGGCACATCCAAACTAAGATCAGTACAAAAATAAAGTTTCAAGCTACGTGTTTTTAAAATAAAAGTCATTGAAACAGTAAGAGGAAAACCTGCATCGGTCCTGTGTTGAAACACAAATGTCATCCCGGCAAAGCCACCCTGGGGCGACAGTAGAACCAGAGCCTGCTGGGAGGGCCGCCCCAGGTTCTCACCGAACCCACACAAAGAAACAAAAAAAACAAATATACAAGTTATGTTCCTGAGCTACAGAAGCTTAGAGCCTCTAACTGTTGTGAATTCTTGTGACAGAGGGTTCTGGCCAGGGTGTGAGCTGGCGAACTCACTAGTGCTTAGCTCATGGCATCAGGATGTGGTGTCAATGTGAAGAGAAAGCCAAGCCCCGCTGCAAGAGACAGAAACCCTTTGCTGACAAAGAGCAGTGCACACGAGTCCTGTCGGTCACCAAGCCTTGCAAAGTCTCCTGCCACAGACACACAAGGTCACGGTGCAGAGGGAAAACAGAAGCTGCTTGGTTTGGGAGCCCCTGTGCCTGCCACACATGCCCCTCAGTGATTCTGGCAGAAACCGCAGCCTGGCCTCATCTGTCCTTAGACACGTGCCTGTTTATAGCCAGCAGCAGACTTTACTGGTCAGTGCAGCTGTGGCCTCGCCAGGGAAAGCAGAGCCTGCCCCTGCCGCCCCGTCCAGCCTGCACAGCGCTTCAGCCTGCAGTGGCCGGCTTTCCTCCGCGTGCCCCATGAAGCTGGGCCAGAACCGTGTGCCTGCTGGAAGTGGCATGCTGGGTCGGTGGGGGTGCTGAGTGAGCTGCTCCGCCTGGGTGCAGCACAGCGGGATGCCTGCCCATGCACAAACTCCCCCGGGATCCCAGCAAGGAATGCAGATGCCAAGGGGAGCAGGAAGGAAGGGGCTGATGAACGGGCTGTGGCCCACTTCAAGCCCCCTGCGGTGGCGGCCAAGCTCCGCTCACTGGTCCTGGACCTTGGCCCTTTTGGCTTTGAGGGACAGGTGCTGCAAGAGAAGAGAAGCCAACAGAGTTAGGGGTCACTCAGCAGAGAGACTGGACTTCAACACAACCCTCACATAAACGACCCAACCAGCGCTGCTCTCTGGTTCCCACACTCTGGGGAGATGCTGTGCCCCTCAATAAGCAGTGTGGTGGGGAGAGCCAGAGTGACTGACCAAAGCGATGGCCCTTCACTAAGGTGCAGCAGCCCAGGCCCCAGCCTGCCACGGCCAACCCTGGTCACATAGGGCCCTGTGGGAAGGTGGCAATGGGACATGCTTTCCCTGCACCCCAGCCCCTAGGACAGCACCACAGCCAAACCCTGTGCTCAGGGGACTGGGCTTGGGCTGGACATCACCTCATGTTTCCATGAATTTCTTATGAATGGTCAAGGAAAGGTAGCCTCTCCATCGGGACAAGGGGACCCAGCATCCCAGCACACTCCACATGGAGGTACATGTGCTCGGGGCGCTGCCCTCACGGACTCCCCTGTCAAGCACATGTGCAGGAGAGACACCCAGGAGGTGTCCTCCCAGTACCACGTTTTCCTTTCAGAAAACAGAGCTCCCTAACAGTATGAACAGCACACGATGCATAACATCATAACCACAGGCACCAGGTAATAGGATTTAGGGATACCATTACACTTCACATCCTAAGATGAAGGGTGGAAGTGCTAGAAATCCTAAAACACGCATTTAGTGCAGAGTATGTGAACAGAAGCTTTGAATCAAGGATCTCTCTATGTCACCCTAACACACAGTAGGATCTTCACATGAGGAACTCCCGGCCTGACTGCCGGTCCCCAACAGGCTCAGTGCCCAACACCTGCACACCCACGTGGGCTGAGACAGCAAGGCCACTGCTGGTGGGGAACCACGGGCCCTAAAAGAACGTGGGCTGAATTAGAGACAGAACACACCATGAAGTACCTGTACTGCTGACGGAGTGAATGGGACACAAGTCCCATAGAGCGGCAAGAAGTCTCTTTCCAACCACACATACTGAAGAAAGGACAAGTACAGGTTCCTGTAAAGGCCCTGGTTAAGAGGGTTTTTCCTGGATCCCAAGGACACCTCTGAGAATCAGGACACAACACTTCGGGCCTGGAAGGAGAACCTCTGAGGTCACCCTGTTCCCTCTAGCTGGGGTCTTGCTGAATTTCTGTCATCTCCTTCCTCCCTGCACTTTACCCAAGAGGACCCCTCCAACTAATGTTAGACACTCATGGCCCTAGCTTGGGAATGGGGCTGATGTAACCATGCCCATGCACACGACCATTTTTGGTGCTCGTTTCTGGGAAGAATGCTGAATGTAAACACAGCCGACTCTGGACCATTTCAGGCCTCTGTACAGGGTGAGTGACATTCTGCAAACAGCAATGGAAAGCTACCAAAGGTGCCAGGAGCAGAGGCAGGGACCTTCTGAGGCCAGTAGGCAGGGGCATGTGTTTGACAAAGGAGCATTTATCATGCATGGGCGGCCACTGGAGACTTATACAGCTCTTGGGGAAATCCATTCACTCTGCACAAGTGAACAGAAGTACCTTTGGATTGTTTTAGGTAAGGGGCCACAGTTCTTGAGGGGTTTTGGGGCCCTCACCTATACAGTGAAACTGTGGCAGCAGATGACTTGTAAGATCCAGGCATCTCTAAAAACTCTGATCTTATGCAGTGATCTGAAAAAGTCAATAAGCTGGATGACAGGTATTTGGAGAGAAGAGACTAATGCAGAAATCTGGGATTGTCATTGTCTTCAAACTTCTGGGACTATCTGCTCTAACTTGGTGGGCCTGAACTGAGGTTTTGAGCTCAGAAGGGAAAATGACTCAGCTTCTGTTCTCTGAGAGTCTGAATGGATCCACGACAACTTTGGGTTAACCCCCTCTCATGCTCGCATCCCCCGACTCGAACCACCAGCACTACCCAACTGTATTATTCTCCTCAGTTTCTGGCTGGCAGTTCTCCTCACTTGTCTGGACTTCTGAAGTCTGCTGTTTTCCGCTCAAGGGGTTGTGAGGGGAAAGACATTCTCACTTGTGTTCTTGTCAGCCCTTCAACACAGCACAGACAACATATTCTGAATTTTTATAGGTGCCTGCGGCTGATCTCATATCTAACTGAAGTATTGGTATGAGGATATGTCAAGAACTATAGAGGCTTGAAATAGTTTTCATTTGATTGGATACAATTATATACTTTAAGAAGGTTTTAAAAAGACAATTTCCCCTGACACTGGAGGGATGAGAAGAGCCTTCCATTTACAGGGCCACACCTCAAATGTTTGCAGGAGTCAAACAAGTGAAGCAAACAAGTGAAACACGGCTGTGGCACCGGGCAGCATTATTCACAGCAAGCAGCCGTCCCTCAGCCCCTGCTGACTGCTGCCAAGCAGTAATGCAGGCCCAGTGCGGAAGACTGACTTTCTTTTTTTAAAGATTTTACTTATTTGAGAGAGAACAAAACGAGAGAGAGAGCACAGGCAGAGATGAAGAGCAAAGAGAGAGGGAGAAGCAGACTCCTCACTGAGCAGGGAGCCCGATGCGGAACTCGAACCCAGGACCCTGAGATCACGACCTGAGCTGAAGGCAGGAGCTCAACTGAGCCACCAGGCACCCCTTGCACCGGCAGACTTACCATTTCTTTTAAGAGAAATCTGAAACCCTTATTTACTGTAGAATCTCCCAATTTTTAAATGCATCCATCAATCCAAATTTGGGGTTGAAAACACTGCAGTCTGGTTACAGCCCTGATGAAGTAAAGGTCTGGACTTTGTTTTCTAGGGTAAAGAGTAATATAACTGAACAAAGTATCTAAAGCAACTGTTTTCGGGCAATGGGCAACAAAGAGGATAAGCAGTAAAAAAAAAAAAAAAAAAAAAAGAAAGAAAGAAAAAGAACTAATTCACACTACAGAACACAATCAGCAAGATGGCAGGCTTCAATCCAACCATATCAATAACTGCATGACATGGGACTGCACTAAACACTCCAATTAAAAACATGACACAGACCAAACAGAATGAGTCAATGGAAGCTTCTGAACTCTGATTTACCTGTTTTCCTGCCAGCCTTCCAAATAGAAGCACCAATTAAAGATCTTGTTAGAAGAATATATAGACTTCCCCAGGCATTCCACTGAATACACCAAGTTTTTGTGTGTGAAAATAAAGAAAACAAAACTGCATCTCCTGCTGGTCATGCACATGAGCCTGCCATGGAAGAAGGGTATACACAGGAATGCCAATGCTCAGCGTCATCACCTACTACTGTGTAAACCACCCTGGGTGTAAGCTTGCACACCTCTTTATGTTCTTTGTGAGGCAATCTTCATCAGAGAATATTTGTGCCACTCCTTGTGAACATGGTCCAAAGTGTGATATAATTTCTTTTGAAGAAAGAAAAGCAGAGGGAGAGAGGAAAAGCCAAAAATACATTCTTTTTGTCTTGTAAGTTGGAGAGATTTGTTTCTAAATGCACTTCACTATGAGCAAATGCTACAGTGCTTTCACGCAGAATGGGGTAGGGATATAGAAGTGGCCTTTCCACTCCACACACTATTGATGGCAATAAATTTAGGGCTTGAAACTGGAGAATTGGTCTGTACTTAAAAATATGAAGAAGCAGCTAAGAGGTGGTTTTGACAGATAGTCTCTATTCACTCCTACCGTTCCTTGTTGATAGAAGTGTGGAGCCAGCTCCAACAGCCAAGCAGATTCGATAGCAGTCACATCTCTCATATAATACTTGGAGGTCTGTATAACTTCATTGTAGATAACCCTGAAACCAGGAGAAAACATGAATTTCCTATACTTTATGGTGAGAATCCAGAACCACAGCAAGCAGAGCTGGTGAGCTTTCCCCCTTTCCCCAGTACCTACTCTGTGTGCCAGGGACTACAGTGAACAAATGCACTTGTGCCTCACGACCTGAGCGGTAGCCAAGAGTGTGTTCCCTTAGAGGGGAGACCCAGTCTGACATGACTTCTAGAACATCTCACTTAGCAGTGCAGGACCTTTCTGGATTCTCAGTCTGCATGTATGGAACTCTCAACAGAGCACGGACTTTATTAGAAAATGTAGAAATACAAGCAAAGGCTGGCTTGCCTGATTCTGAAAAGGGATGGAAATTAACTGTAAAGAGACACAAGGGAACTTTTTAGAGATGGAAATATTCTATATCTTATTTGGAACGTGGGTTACATAAGTGTACTCAGTTGTCAATATTCTCACTGTACATAAATTATACCTCTACTTATGGGAAAAAAGGAGGGGGGCCTTGCCTGAGGCTGAGGTAAAAAGACACCAAAGAGACAAGAAGATAATTTCAAATTCTCAGATTTTAGAGTTTGTGTATTGGATAGATATCCGTTTCTGAGATATCTAAAGTGCTGATTCAGGGCTTTCCTAACAACTATACACATCCCGGCCACTCTGCCACCATGTGCTCCTTGAAGCCAACAAATGACCAGACCAGATGCTGAAGGTCAGTGCAAGGGAGGGGGCCTCTGCAGAAGCAAGAGAAGAAGAGTGCTCCCTTTGCCACCCTAAGGTAATGGGGCTGCCTCAGGACTGGCTCTATTCAGCCATGCTCTCTTTGCCCTTCAGGGATCCTTGAGAATGAAGCAGAAAAAAAGAAGTCTCCCAAATTAAGCAACTCCCAAATTAGTCAACCCAAAGTCAGCAAACCCTTGGGAAAAGATCTAGAACCAAGGTCTGCTTTCCTCTTTAACTCACCGTGCATGCTGATGGATGTCAGGTAACATTTCTAAACCCAGAACTGACCAACCAAGTCTCACTCCAGCTAAGCAGCTTCTGGATCTGCACTGGTTACAGGACCAAGTCTTATTCTTAGGTCTCAGCAAAAGGGTCTCAAATAAATGTTGCCACCCATCAAAACCACCTGGAGCGGTTGTTAAAACAGGTTGGTAGACCCCATTCCCAGTTTCTCATTCAGAAAGGCTGGGCATGGCCAGAAAATCTGCATTTATTTTTTTTTTAATTTTTATTTATTTATTTATGATAGGCACACAGTGAGAGAGAGAGAGAGGCAGAGACACAGGCAGAGGGAGAAGCAGGCTCCATGCACCAGGAGCCCGATGTGGGATTCGATCCCGGGTTTCCAGGATAGCGCCCTGGGCCAAAGGCAGGCGCTAAACCGCTGTGCCACCCAGGGATCCCAAAATCTGCATTTCTAACAGGCTTCCAAGTGATGCTTTTGCTTCCCTGGAAACCACACTTTTGGAAACCACTACTCTAGGGTGCCAAGTACCTTACAGCAGATCTCTCTGCCCTCTCCTTCATTCCACCATTATCTCCCCTCCCCAGGCCCCCTCTCTCTCCTAGGCCTTTTCCACCTATCTGTGGTAAAGAATCAATTCTTGTTTTTTAAAATTTCCAGTCCATTGTGAGGACAGTATTTTTATAAAACACAATATTAAAAAATTACTAGAAAAATGAGATTTTAAGACCTACAGAAGACAGGCTCCATTTTTATTATCAAATTGGGCAGACAAAAAAACTTAACTTACTAAAGTACTATTAGAAGTTCTAAATGCCTCCTCTTGTGTGCGCATTTCTTCTTTCACAGGCATGGTCCCAGACTCGCCCAATCTTACTACCTACCACCCTAGGGTAGCCTCGGGCCCGCTGCACCAGTGACTCCCCATTTCCCAGACAGGTTCTCTCACCTTCCTGTGGCTGTGCCTCTGCTCCTACCTCCATCTGTATTCCCTTCACATTCTTTTCTGCTTGAAAACTTCTGTTTGCAGGCCCCAAAGCAAATGTCACCTCCTCCATGAAGCCAGCCCTGACTCTCCCTGGCATGTGAGGTGCCAACTTCAAAGCTTTATACTCCCCTGGCCCTCAGTCCCTTCTCCTGAGTTGCTGGAAGCTGTCTGAATTTACATCTCCATCAGGACTGTGGCCCGGAACCCAATTTGCCTCCACATTGCTGTGTCTAGTGCAAGGTTTAGCACCTAGTATGGAGGTGAAAATGAATGTTTGCTGAGCACATAAGTGAGTAGAGGAATATCACCATGTGCATTAGGAAATCTTTGATAAGAACAGAAATTACGTAGATGACTCAGCATAACAAAGACAACAAACATGTATGCCAGGCACCAAGCCAGGCCTGGGGGTGAACAAGAAGCAGGCCCTGCCTCCTGAGCAGTTACAAGGCTCAGAAGGAGGTCGTGGCTTACCAACGAGGCGGCTTCTCTGCGTAGAGGACCGAGGCAGGGTGGATATGTAATTCATGATCGTCACGGATAGTCCTTGCAAACAGAATTTTATCTGAAGTCAGTCTAAAATACTCTCCCACAGATGTGTCTCCTATTATCCAAAAATGCATGCAGGTGGCGCTTCACTCAAAAGAACTATTCTCTCCATCTCTTCCAGTGCGCTGGTGGACCCCTCACCCACTGCCACCCCAAAAGTCAAGAACAAGTCATCCAGAAAAGAGGAGAAAAACAGCATGTCGCCATTTAGGAAAAAAACATGAAAAATTTACTGCTCTTCTCATACTCATGTTCATGTTTATCTTCCATACTTTCTCTTTCAAAACAGTTTCCTCAGGGATAGAAATAATATATACAGTTACTTCTGTAAAATTTTCTACTAAACAACGTTAAATAGTAAAGATAAAGGCTATGGGGAGACAAAATAACAGGGAAAAGAAAGCTCAGTATTGGACGATCCATGTCTCTGAGATAATATTTCAAATTTCAACTCAGATGTGATTCAATTTAATTCAAAAACTCATTACCGAACACACAACTATCAGTAAGATCAGATCACAAGAGAGCATAACAAACAGATTAGGATGTTGCTGCCCAAACCCTGAGTATGGGATGTTCCTGTGGGTGCCAGGGACCTCTGTGTCAGGGAAGTGCTTCGAGCACCATGAGTGAGCTCATCTCCTGCTCTGTGATAAAACCAGCACGCCAGGGTCCTGCTGCACGCCAGGGTCCTGCTGTGCTACCAGGTGGCCTGAGCGGATCGATACGGAGTTTTTGCCTCAAAGGGACTGGCAGACCATGAAGCCTGTCATGTAGCCCATATTTTTTTAAGGACTCTAGTGAAAGAATTTTCTTAATGCTAGTACAAACTGCTTGCTAATATACCCTTGAGGCAAGTGGGGGAATCAAAAGGACAACAAAATGACAGGACTCACTGCAGACCCTCACAGGCCTCTCCAGAGTTGCCAAAAACATTTGAGAGGGGGAGCTCAGGATGGGCAACACTGTCATGGCCCTGAGGAGCTAGAATACTTGGCCTGGAGTAACAAACAGAACATACTAGAGGTAAAGGTAAAATGCTACACTGAGGTTCAAAGAGCTACCAGGATATTAGATGTAAGAGACCTGGCTGCCAAAAGGCGAACAAGAAAGCTCAGTGAAACTCTGGACTCCTTCACAAAGCCCAGCATCCACACAGGGAACACTGTGGCCAACTTCCCCTCAGAAAATAGGAACATAGTATTTTCTAAGGGGAAAAAGCTAATGACAAAATAATATATGGAGAAAATGCAAAGAAAAGCTGGGGAGGAAGCCTTTGGACTGCTCCCATATGAAAGAACAGATGCACGTTTAAAAGGCTCAGGTGAAGTGGACCAGAATGAGCCAAGGTCCTGAGGTTATTAGGAGGGTTTTAGTGACCAGTGATTTTCTGTCCAGAAAGTGGAAGAAACGGGCTGTGATCTGTAGCAGGAGGCATATGCAGCACATGAAGAAACACTTGCCAACATCCAAAGACAGCAATTGTGGCCACAACCTACCTACCAGGGTAGGCAGTGGCCTCAGTCCCATAGGTCTCTAAAAACAAAATGAACTACCGAAGGCCAGGGTAGTTTCTCCAAGAAAGGTCTCTTCCAGTTCTATTGTTCTGGTAATTAGAATGGAAATATTTCCAGCCTCCAGACTTATAATTATATCATCCTTCTACAACATAGGGATGAGCTGAATATTTGAGAATCATGTCCATCAAGTAAGATATGATGCTGAAAGCTATGTAGTAAATGTCAACTCATCTTTGGAAGGAGGCAGGAGATAAAGAGAACTTATTTAACTTAATTTCTGTACTCTTCGAGCACATCAGCTTTCTAATGGGGTAGAGATCATCTTTAAGATTTCTCCTTTTAGCAAATGACTCCATGAAGTATGTTACCTATAAGCTCCAGTAGAATGAAACCGTGCTGCATTTGCAAAGAATCCTGAAACAATGCACCTCAGGACTGGATCTGGATCACCTATACAAGGTAGCAAACAGAGTGACGGGTGAGTCCCTTGCCTCCCCAATGTTCTGTGTGCCCAGGCCTGTGCTCTGAGGCCCCACCCCAGACTGCTTTGAGCCGCCTTGCAAACCTCCCCGAACCAGCCCCAGCCCCATTCCTCCCGGGGCTGGGTGCCTGCATTGGCACTGCCTACAGCTGTTGAGAGAACCATGCTGGATTGTTCCTTTACCTTAGGATGCCCCAACTCCCCAGGACACAGGTGACAAGACCAAAGCCGGGCACCAGAACCCAAGGGAGCACACCATAGGCTGGCCAATGATCCCAAAACTCCTTTTTTTAGGAGAAAATCTTAATGTTTCTCCCTTAACGTACATCACAAAGTTATTTCTGTGGTTAGAAGCTACAGCACACAATTCTTCACAATTTTTCGCATGTCCCATTTTAATTGGTGTCTGTATTGCTACAGTAAACATCTTCCAAGGATAGAGCCCAACCATTTATTAAATGATTTCCAAAGGATACATTCTATATGATTATGCAAAGGATAATGTCATGGATGTGGCTTACAACATACCACATTCCATCAATTCTTTTTTTTTTTTTTTTTTACATTCCATCAATTCTAAGACTCACTCTTTTTTTCCCCTTTAACTTACTGAGATCAGAACAGCATTTTGTAATTGTAACTGGCAGTACTTTTTTCTTAGTGGTACATAAAATAATGGCATGCCTTACAAATGATGGCATCTTAGGGACGCCTGGAGGCTCAGTGGCTGAGTGTCTGCCTTTGGCTCAGGTCCTGATCCCAGGGTCCTGGGATTGAGTCCCGCACTGGGCTCTCTGCAAGGAGCCTGCTTCTCCCTCTATGTCTCTGCCTCTCTCTGTATGTCGCTCATGAATAAATAAAATATTTAATAAGTAAATAAAATATAAGTTTTAAAACAAATGATGGCATCTTAGATCCAATGAAATACAGTGTACTGGTAAGTAAGTTCCCAAAAGGTGGTGTAATTTACAAAACCATCAACAGTGCATGAGAGTGTCAGTTTCACCATGTTCTTACTGGCAATGTTATGGCAAAAAGGCACGCCTTCTTTTACTGTATGTTGATCAATTGCTATCTATATTTCTTCTTTTGTGAGTTTTCTGTTCCTTTGCCCATTTGTCAACTTGAAAACTAGTATTTTTTATAAGCATGTTAAATGAACTCATCCTGTGACAAAGTTTTTAATTTTTCATCTATTTCTGCTAAAAATATTTTCACTATTTGCTTTTTCTTTAACATTCAGAAATTTTAAGTTTCTACATAATTTATTATTTCTATGATTTTCTCTATTGTTTCTCAGCACAGAACTGATATGATAAATCTCAAATCTACATTTCTAACCACAATCTGATCCAAGATTCAATCTCTTCTCTCCAACTGCTACCTGATAGAAACTCCTATATAGAATATACATTCTTATCAGGGAGACATTGCTTCCAAGGGATGAAAATTGGCTCTTGGGGGCAAGGAAGAGGGGAATCTTAGAAACTGCAATGGTATGGCCTACCAAGGCTCATCCCTACCTTACGAAATCTTATTTCCTTTCCTGTTTAATTTCTCTTCTTAGGAAGAACTTAAATTTAATGCCACTTTTCTCCTGAGCGAGAGATTGATAATGAAAAACAGGTTAAGAAACACAGATGTAGAAGTAAGGCTGCCATCTGTCTGTTAGGTGACAAGCACTAGATCAGCTTCTCCCTAGTCAGCTGACTTTGGAAGCTTCTCGCTTCTATCAATGACCCCAACTTTACCCACTCTGGTTTCAATTCTCCCCTCTCCCGTGAGCTTCTTCATTCATTAATATTGTGAGCATCTAATATGTCCCTCACCCCACGCACCTGTCTCCACAGACCCCTGCCCTGTACTCCTTAGTGTAACCAGGCTGCTGGACTGGACTGGGCTGCCTCTCAAGGCCTGCTATGTGGCCTCCCAGGCCCAACCCCACTAGGTTCCCACCTCCCTGCATTCCTACTACATCTGCCACCTCTGTCTACCTCACGTATGGAAGGGTCTACTCCTCTAACTTGGAAGAGAACCGATGACCTCACACTGTAACACTCTATCTACATGAATCCCTCCCTTCACTGTCCTCAGAATCAGAACCATGTCTTCACCATTTTTTAATTGCTTGCCCTTAGGACAGAGGCAAAAATAAGGGTGAAATGGCAGGAATGAAACTGCCTGAGTTCAAGTTCTGATTCCACTACACACGCACTATGTGACCTTTAGCAAGTTCTTCTTTGCCTCTTCACCCATTGATCTCATCTATAAACTGGATACAAGTGGCACATATCACTGGATTAGGGTGAGCATTAAATGAACTCACACATGGAAACACTGGCACACTGCAGGCCTACTTCAGGCGTTAATGGGGTGCTAGCAAGTACTCAGGGCATAGAGGTTGGCAGGGCACCTGGCACGCAGCAGGCACTCACTGGGCAATGGCTGAGTGAATGAGCAGATGGGTCACCTCCTCAAAAGCACAGGCTATGAGCCACATAGAACTGGCTTAGCTGAATCAGCTGTGTTGTCCTCAACTCCACTGAATTTCTCCCTCGGATTTTACAACTCATCTGTAAAATGAGGACAGTATCACCTACATCTCACAGAGTGGGCAATTAAGTGAGGGAATATTTGTAGAACCCCTGCCATGATGTCCTCAATTAATGGTGGCAATAGTCACTGCCAGAAGCCAGAGACCCTGTCTTATACAGCACTCCTGTCTTACCCCAGGGACTGTTGAGGCTTAACACACAGACTTGATTAGTAATGTCTGCATTTGAAAATAAAACACACTTTATATGGAATAGCCATAAATACTGTCCTTTTACAAAAGTAATATGTCTTGCAAAGTCTACATGGGGAAATTAGCTATGTAACATGCAATAATGTAAATGTTAATAATCCTGATGTCTTGTCAGGGCTTGTAAATTTCTTTCTTTTTTCTTTTTTTTTTACTAAGAACAGCCCTCAGAAATAAAAATGGACCTCCATGGAAAACACATGCTACTTTTACATGCTCAGCTTTTCACCAGCACGGGCAATTCCATGTGAGCCCGGCGTAGGTACAGAGCACACTGTGTGGACTCACACAGCCCTGCACGGACCTTCGAGGAATGCAAGTGAACAGCACAGGATGCAGCATCAACAGGTGTGGTGGTTTGCTCTTACCTTCACTTGATTTCTTGGGCACTTGGAATTTGACAAGAAGCTTCTTCAACTGCTCTCGCACTGTTGCAGCTCTAATGAGACCCTTGTAATTCAGGAAATGTTCTTGACACCATTGAGAGTTTTTATTGTGCTGCAGGGCAACCGAGACAGAGGGGGAGTGAGAAAAATGCAGACAAGTTTTCAACTGTGGCTATACTACCAGGTAGTTTCCTCTTTCTCCCCTTTGGTTACTCAGTGGGGAAGATCTTCCCATCTTAACAATCCCCTTCCTGCCCCATCTCCCTAGACAGATGCTGACCCTCATGCATACCATCTGCTCTTCCATCTCACTCCCTGCACCAAAGGGCAAAGGAGAACTTACTGACAAGCAGAGTTGTTTTCAATCTGAAATACCCAACCGACTGGCAAGTCATCAATAAGAACCGATTCCCTGTGGTTCTTGGTAAATTAACTTTGTAAATCAACTTTCTTTGAGTTCACCATTCTGTGAGACTACAGGTGAACATGACACTTGCCAATTTAGAAATAATTCACAAATTATTATTATTTAATCCCCAAAGTATGATTTGTCTATCAACAAATTTTATCCTACATTCTTAAGTGGATCATTATGTCTTAAATTACTGCTGTGGGGATGAACTTCTGAAATTCTAAGCCAGACAGGAAGGCATTTTAAATAAGAAAATGTAATTCACAGAAGATTCTCCAAGAAGGCAACTATCCACTAACACGGTGTAAACATGTCTGCCTTCCAGCAGCAGAGCAAGCTTCAGATTAAAGATAGAATGCTGCACTTACGCAAATGAATTTTAACTGCTGTAACTCATAATCCATGTTCTCAGTAAGAGATCAGGTTTTACTGAAAACTGTTCAAGAACTGAATAAACTCCCTTAGATCTCTGGTGAAACAAAAACGAATACAAGATACTGAAATCTGAAATATCTAATTTCCCCCTCCCACCCTTTCTGCTATATAAGAGGTTTCTTATGGTTTTCATCATTTTTAAAGCTCTCTGAAATTTTCAGCAATTTTTAGTGAGAATTTTAAGCTGTATCATTTGCTTAGTTTTACAAAATGTTAAGAATATAAAAAAATCAACACTGCATTTAGCTAAATATGGGTAGGGCATGTGAGCAGATGCAGGTCCTCACTGCACACCCCTCTCACAGCCAGGTCCCTGGCCAAGCCGTCAGCACACTGCCAGCAGGCCAAGTCTCCAGGTAGGGGACAGTCAGGAGTAACTCCTGTGTCCTTCCAAGCAAAATCATACCACAGACTCAGGCAGCCCCTCCACCCCCGACCCCAACCCAAGTGGGTTAGAAGTACTGGCAATAATCTAATGGGAAACTACAGAGGTGCCTCGGCCATTCCTTTATAAACTGAATTTCTGGAATCCTCACACCTCGAGTGACTGAATGGGCCTTTCGAGGGCTAACTGTGCTTACTTTGATAAATGCTTCATACACATTGAGCATAGTGAGATGATCACCCTCCTCCACAGCAAATTTGCGGTGTACTCGAATCTGGAAAGAATAAAACACATTTATTCTCACAGCCGACTCCTGTGAGCCTCTGGTACAGGGAGGTAACATTACACGGAATGGCTTGTGGCTTGCAGAGTCATAGACACCTGCTCTGTACCAGTTCCAGCTCCACCATTTCCTAAAAACCTCAGATTGGTAATGTACCCTTTCTCAGCCTCAACTTCCTTATCTATAAAACCAGGATATTAAACCTATCAAGACTGCTGCAGGATTAAGATTATTCACTGTAATACCAGCCAGAGATACAAGAGAATGTTAGTGTCCTTGTGTCTTCCCTCCTCTATCCTCTATCCAGTCAATACCATCTCTCTCAGAAGAACCACCCCCCAACCCACCCCACCAGCCCCAGCTCCCAGGAGAATGTAAGGTTCCGAGAGGGCAGGGGGCCAGCTATCTGGCACATGGTAGACACTGTAGTTGGAAGCTACCACCAGCCGCACAATCCTCTCAGATCTCGTCCCTCCGTTTTCCCTTCTGTATGATCCTGGGCAATACCACCCTGTTCCAGTGAGGTGTTTTTTTTTTTTTTTTGGTTTTTTGGTTTTTGGTTTTTTTTTTTTAAGTTTTTATTTACTCATGAGAGAGAGAGGCAGAGACACAGGCGGAGGGAGAAGCAGTCTCCATGCAGGAAGCCTAACGTGGGACTTGATCCCAGGTCTCCAGGATCACGCCCTGGGCCGAAGGCAGGTGCTAAACTGCTGAGCCACCCGGCTGCCCATTCTAGTGAGTTTAAGGAACAGCACACATGATAAGCACAGAAGCACACAAATATACTTAGTATCTCTAGAATTCTCTCCTTGTATCAAATACCACATAATTAACCAGCCTACCTACCCACCTTCCTGCCTTCCATTCATTTCTTCGTTAATAGGTGTTTCCTGTGCATTAGAGGCCAGGCGCTATTCTAAGCATTTGGGATGTAACAGTGAATAAACAGTGGTGGAGGCAAAAACCAAACAAACAAGCCACATATACAGTACAGCAGGTGGCAGAAGTGCTAGAGGAAAGCAAAGCAGGGGAGAGGCTGGACCATGGAGGAGACATGCTGCAGTTCCAGGCAGTGGGTGGGACTTCAGGTTCCTCATATTGAAGATGAGTCGGCCTGTGCTGAGGGAGGACCATCAGAAGGACTAATAGAGAAGCAAACGCAGGGCACCTGGGTGGCTCAGTGGTTGAGCATCTGCCTTTGGCTCAAGCTGTGATCCCGGGATTCTGGGATCAAGTCTCACATCGGGCTCCCCACAGGGAGTCTGTTTCTCCCTCTGCCTATGTCTCTGCCATTCTCTGTATGTCTCTCATGAATAAATTTTTAAAAAAACAACCACCAAAAAAAACAGTGGAAAAAATGGACATACTCACCAGGGACAGAAGCAGGAAGATATAATCTATCAAGTTATGACTCTGAGGGCAGAGGACAACTACTCCTAAGAAAGTCTCTCCCCCAACCACACATCCCAGTTCAGCTCCTACATGTGCAAGGTTGCCACTCTCTACTCTTCCTGTGACAACCAGCCCTGACCTCACACTTGCCTGCCTCTGTCAGCACACCTTGCATCCAGGGTGTGTTTCATAGCCTGATTTCTCCACACACCCCTCCCATACGCTCACCCCCGCCCCACCCCCTGCAATCACGCCATCAGTGATCTCTGGTGCCAGGGCCTCAGGTGGCCATCTCTTGGCTTGGAGTACCCCTCTACCACCACCACCACCACCAAAATTAACCTGCTGTGCCCAGGCAAGACTCCTTATGCCATGAGGGTGCCACCCAGGTCTCTTCCCAGAGGCACCTGAAGGCCTGTTTCCCTTATGAGGAAGTGAAGAGGGCATGGTTAAGACTAGGGGCTCTGGACTGTGCAATGCAATTGCCCCAAGGCTGGGCCATCACAAATGAGTTACCTAACATTTCTGTGCCTTCATCTCTAAAAATGATGAGAATAGTGTTTACTTCCCAAGTTTATGGTGAAGACACAAGGGAACACGAGCCACATAAAACGTCTGGCATAGTGTCCAGAACACGACAAACACGCAGAATGCAAGTGGATTCCATTCACACAGCCCTGTCATTGGTGGTTCCCAGAAAGTTTCAACAAGGAGAGCCCACAGTGAAAGAGACTGGTATGAACGGCTTGGGGGAAAAGGCTAGACCTACCGCCTGAGACTTCTGATTTGTGGGGACCACAAAGATATTCTGGATTTGCATCATGGCTGCAATGCTTAGAATTTCCTGAGAACAGCCAAAATTTCCTATAAAACAAAGAGCATGTCTGATTTCAAACATGTATTGTCAACGAGGAGTGAAAGACATTTTGTTATTTTCCTTACACCATACTACAAGCGAAGGTCATGTATTTATACACAGTTTGACTGTTCGAGTTCATCATATATGAAAACTTTACCCTGCTGTAATGTCCATATGTGGCCCAGATGAACAGAGGTCCAGGAGGACTCTGAGAAAGGAGATGCTATTGCACTCAGCAGTTGGGACATCAAGGACTCTCGCTGTATACCACGGTGGGGGGTTGTGTCCCTTCTGCGGTCTCTCTCCTCCTGGACCCCTCTCTGGGGTGGCCTCCCTCTCAGCAGGGCTCACCTGACCTAGCAAGTCCAAGATGCACCCAGACCAGAGAAGCACTCTGCAGACAGTGGCTGCTCATACCTGGCACAAGGGCTGCAGTCATGGGCACTTCAGGGCACTGGACAGTGAGCAAACTGCACTGCCCATCCTCCTTCCCATAGTTTCCTGCCTCCTGGCTGATATGCTCCCCCAGCCCCAAAGTTAAGAGTCCTGTTTCTCAATGTAAGCCTAAGGTCACCTGGGTGTTTAAAGCTGACTCTTATCATACTTAGTCTGAAGTACAGCTCTGTAAACTGCTAGTGAATATAAAAGCCGAAAACAAGAAAAAAATTCTCATTTCCTTTCCTGGTAGGAGTGGTGGTGGGGGGGGGGGGACACATAAACTATACTCTATGATTCTGACTCAACCTCTAACTTGTAAATTTTTACCCCTTACTCATCTCCTCACAAACATCTGAAGGTGTCAGGGAAGGTGGAACTCCTGGATGCTGGTGGCAGGAATACAAAGCACTGTGGCCTCTGTGGAAAACAGAATGAGGAGTCCTCAAAAAATTAAACGCAGGATTATTTGATGATCCAGCAAATAAGCGAAAGCCGGTACTCCAACAAATGTGTGTATGCCAACGCTCAGAGCAACCTTATTCACAATACTTGGCAGGTGGAAGCAACGCCAAGTGTCCATCAGCAGATGGGCAGTACGTACACACAGCAAAATACTACTCAGCCTTTAAAAAGGGCATTCTGACATATGCTACAACATGAATGAACCTCAGAAGACAGTATGTCAAGTGAAATCAATCTGTCACAAAAGAACAAATATTGTAGGATTCTGCTAAAGGGAGGTTCCCAGAATCATCAAATTCATGGGGACAGAGTAAGAGGATGGCTGCAGGGCTTGGGGGTAAGAGGGAATGGGGAGTTGGTGTTTAATGGGGACAGAGTTTCAGTTTGAAAAGATGAAAAGTTCTGGAAATGGACTGTGATAAGGGCTGAACGACAATGTGAGTGTACTTAATGCCTCAGAACTGTACAGTTGAAAAAATGGTAAAATGGTACATTTCATGTTTTTACCATAATTAAAAAAAATTAAAAATAAAAAAACTTCCCAGTTTCAAAAAAAAAAAAAAAAAATCAGGCATCAGTTCTAGTTCCCCAGGAAACAAACAATAGTTTGTTTAATAGTGACTGACACAGAATCTCCAGTTAACAATATGCCCCAAATCAGACAGCATTAGCTCCTTCACTGCTCAAAATATATCATGCCCCCTTCCCTAGGGTACACAAAATTCAAGAAGTAATCCTCTGACAGAATCTACGAGAACTGTTGGTCTCCACATACCTGATTCGAGCAGCATTTTTGCAAACATGGGATTCAAAGGAAACTCTGCAACTCTCATGCCAAGTGGTTCAGTTAAGCGACAGTCTTTGTCCAGACCTGCCGTAAGAACAACAAAAATCAGAAGGCGTGAACCAAGGTGTTGGAAGATAGACAGTTATCAGGAGGATAAACGATGATGTACGTTAGAAAAGTTGTCCAAAAAGATGAATCATGCTACCAAACTCAATCTTACATCAGAATGCTATTAAATTAAAAGAAGAAAAGACCACCTCTGAGCTTCTGAATACCCAATTTTGAAAAACTGATACTTCTAATAGCTTCTATTTAAGAACTTCATTCCAAGGAAATGGCCCTGCAGCCTCCTCTCACTCCCCATTCCCCTCACCCAGCCCAGACACAGCTCCTTCCAAGCACAGATGTTCCAGAATGGTATCCCATACCCTCTGATCCTCTCACACTATGAGAGCAATTACAAGGTCAGGGACTGGGAATCTAAATGTTTGCCCAGATCTCTCTTGGATGCCAACACCAGAACCATTCATCCAACTGCCTCCTGGGCAGTTTACTGAACAGGGCAGACTCCAATTCCCCACATCTCTCCTTGCCTCTTCACCACTAACCAATATCCAGGTATGGGATTCCCAAGATGCTGACTACTACTTTATTGCCATTCAGACTATTCCCAAAGTATGCCATTAAAAAACATGCTGCAGAGCTCAGAGTAAGACAGGAAAGGTAATTTCTCTTCTGTTCCCATATAATCATCTCTTGAAAGGTGATAATTCAGCTTGTAACTATAAATTAAGTCAGGTGCCTTAATTCCTCTGCCTTTTCCAGCTTACTTAAGGCAGTGAAGAATTAGAAAATATTTTAACTTTCATTCTGTTGGATTAGAGGCAAATCAATCCAAATGAAAAACTTCTGGGCAGCCCCGGTAGCTTAGCGGTTTAGCGCCGCCTTCAGCATGGGGCCAGATCCTGGAGATCAGGGATCCAGTCCCACGTCAGGCTCCCTGCATGGAGCCTGCTTCTCCCTCTCCTGTGTCTCTGCCTCTCTCCCTCCCTCTCTGTCTCATGAATAAATAAATAAAATCTTAAAAAAAAAAAAAAAGAAAAGAAAAGAAAAACTTCTAGGTAGTCAATGTTCTCCCCTACTCATTACAGACTATTCCATGAAACTTTCCTTTCAGGGTCCTACTACATGCTTAAGAACAGGGACGGGAACCTATTTTGGCACACATGCACTCTGGGCTGACTTGACACAGACTCACCTAAAGGCCTTTTAATCACTGATGATCCTACATCAGTAATTGGCTATTCTTTTGCAGGGAAGTATCACAAACGTAATGAATGAAAATGGACCCCATACAAAAAAAATTTCTCAAAAATGGATCACGGACTTACTAAATATAAGAACTGAAACTATAAAAACTTTTCAAAGAAAACCTAAGAGAGATCTCCATAGAGAGGTTGGGCAATGGTTTCTTAGACAAGACACCAAAAGCACAAGCAACAGAATACATATACTGAACTATGTGAAAACTTAAAACTTTTGTACTACAAACAATTATCATCAAGAAAGGTGAAAAGCCAACCCACAGAATGGAAGAAGTATTCACAAACCACAGATCTGAAAAGAAACGTACACCCAGAACACATAAAGAACTCTTCCAACTCAGTAATAAAAGACAGTACCCCCAAGTAAAAATGAGCAAAGGATTTGAACAGACATTTCTCCAAAGAAGATTTATGAGTGGCCAATACACATGAAAAAGTGTTTAACATTACTAGTCATTAGAGAAATGCAAATCAAATCCATGAGATACCACTTCATTTCCTCTAGGATGCCTATTAATGCAGAAGACAGATAACAACTTGCTATCATCTGAAGCAAGGGGAACCCTCATACACTGCTGGCAGGAATGTCCACCAAGAATTAGCACGTAAATGTTTACAGCAGCTTTATTTAGCCAAAAAGGGTAAACAACCCCAATGTCCATCAATTGCTCAATGGATAAGGATAATACGTGGCATATCTCATCCAAGCAATGCTTTATTAGTCAGCAATAAAAAGGAATGAGTATCAACACACGCTATAACACGGATGACTCTTGAGAACATCGCGCTGAATGAAAGAAGCCAATTGCAAAAGACCACAGATTATAGGATCCTGTTTATGTGAAATGTCCAAAACAGGCAAGTCTACAAAGAAAGAGATTAGGTCAGTAGTTGCCTGGGGTTGGGAAGAGGGGAAAGGGAGTGGGGAGTGAGCACCCATGGGTACAGGATTTTTTTTCTTAGGTGATAAAACTGTTTTTAACATTCTAAACTTGGGGTGATGGTGGCACAACCCTGTGAATACATTAAAAACCACTGAACTATACGCTTTAAATGGGTAAACTATATGGTATGTGAATTATGCCTCAACAAAAATGTTAAAAACAAACAAAACAATCTCAAAGGACAAAACCTCTATCAAAACTTACCACCAAACCAGACATTCTGTTCACTTGGGGCAACATCTGCAGCAAAGATAGGTACTTCCTAAACAGATGAATTCAGACTATAGTTTCTTTCTTAAAGTAAAAAACTACATTTTTAAACAAGAGACTAGAGGTTCCTTTATAGCTTGGTGTTTCCTTGCCCCAAAGAATTCCATAGGCTGGTCATTGACCCAATTCTTCACAGGGAACTCCAGGAATGGAATGAGGGGGGAAACAGGGAGAAAACACTGAGCCAGAAATTTCGGGATGGGGTGGAGGGACTGAAAAAAAGGCCTAGAGAGGTAACATCTGACGTACTCTTAGGGAATCTTTTAGATATCTTTCAGGAGTGTGGCTCCAGTGATGGTTATTAATAGCTCCTGATGTCCCAACATGCTTTATGAATTCACTGTCATAACTGGACTTCATGTACTGTTAATCTAATTATGGTCCCATCTTTTTATTTTGATAAAGCTTAAGAGTTGTTAAGAGCATCATACATATGCAGAGAACCAGTCCCATCTCTGAAGATACTAAGAGCCCTAAAGTGAATACAATCTAACCAATACCATCTAATAATAAGTAGATCAGAGAACACGTAAGACAGGCATACCTCCCAGAGCATACAGTAACTCCAACGCTTGAACCATCGACTGGGCTGGAGGGGGCTGTAAAAACATAAAAATCCTCCTAGATTAATTTCCTCAGATAACAGACATAAATTGTGACTATTCTTGCCCAAATCCACTCTCCCCTCTTATGTGCCCCATAGCTCCCAGCCTGCATGCTTGTACTCACATTGGTGCCCCAAATGCCCTTCCTCTCCTTCTCAGCATCCGTAGTACTACTTGGTCTTCAATCACAGCTTGATTTAAACACTGCCCCTTGGAGCCCTCCCTCATGCTCCCCTCCACCAGAAATGATGGGTCCCTTCTTTGAACAACCTCCCTGTGTTCCTACACTCTCATCAGACACTTCTGTTTTTTTCCTTCACAGTCTCAATCTTCCATTGCAGCAGCCCTGGTGGGTAATTCTGTACCTCTCAGATCCCAGTGCCAGGCCTTGCCCACAGAGGGCATACACAGGATCTGAATTTCTGAAAATAGAGAACACTAGGCAATCTGAAGTTAAGCAAAGCTGCTATCGTGACCTTCAGTCTGATTCTCTGGATCTAAATCACATTCCCAGTATTTTCACCCAAACACACAGTATTTCTCTCTGGCCTCATCTGATTTGGGACCATATGCAAACATTATGTTTAAACATAGTTGGAAGGACTGTATATGTCTAATTCAGTTTGTTTTTCCGTATGGTTTTCTGTTTTCACTGTTTTGTTTAATTTTGTTTTACCCAGAGAAACTTCACAGTGATTACTTGGGACAGCTGCATAATATTCCAATTAGGTCATAATCCATAAAATGCACAACTGTCTTCCTCCTGGGTAACTGAATTGTTTTCTGTTCTTTGCTACTATAACTAACACTGCTAAATAAACAAAATTATATGTGCCCTGTGATTTCGACTATAAAAAGATAAAAATAAAAATACCACAGTTTTGGGAGAAAATAACCAGAAGGGAATATATGAAAATGAATTTGTATGTATTTTCCTCATACTTCAGTTGTCCAAAAAGTTTATGATTTCATTATTCCATTTCAAAATTTAATATACAATGATACTATAAACATGATCATACATGTAAGTTTTCTTCTTCTTTTAAATTATTTTTTCAGGAGAAATTTCCCTGAGAAGAAATATCAGGCATTTCTACAGTTCATAAAATAATGTCAGAAAGCCCTCCAGGACTGAAGTGGAGTATGAAACTGCTTTCCCAAACTGTCGGCTTTGGACTTTCTCATTTTACTGCCTGTTTGATCACTTAACTAATGTGAAGTGGTACCTAACACCTATTTCAATCTGTACTTACTTCTCTTCTAGAGAAGCCAAACATTCCAATGTCTCTTTTGTGCTGCTTCCTTTCCTTTAGCTCTTCTTTCAGTGGATATTTGATTTATTCCAAATGATGCTTGAAAAGCTCTGCAGTTCTCAAGATGCTGATATGTCATTTTTGCCATTACATGTTTTCTTTCATCTTAGATGGGAGGATTTTCTTAAAGCTTTTAATTTGCATATATTACTTATCTTCTCTGTAATTTCTTGCATACACCAATAATCAAAGAGGGTATTTTTTTCCATACTTATGATAAACACACAGTTGTTTTCTTTGGGAGAGAGACTGATATTTTCTATTCCTTCATTCACCTAGTTCATCATGACATATATAATATTAGGGACTTTACTATCTGAGCATCCAGGCTTGTCATACCACATAACAATGCAGTTGGGACAGAACAAGAGTTAACCTTCAAATCATAAAAATTCAGGAAGAAAATATGACTGAATGTTTACTAATTGACCAAGATGCAGGAAAGTGCTTTATAAGGACAGAAATAACAAGAAATCACAAACAGAAAGATTTTACTGTGGAAATATAATGTCTGCACATTTAAAAAAACAAATTTTAAAAAACCAATAAAATACAAACAACTAGAAAAACCAGTTGCAAGAAATACCATAGACAAAGGTTAATGTCTTTAATAATTAAAGGCTCTTAAAAATCACAATAAACACTAATTCTAACAGATAAAGGGCTTAACAATTCAGAAGAAATATAAAGTGGACAATAAATGGAGTTTTTTAAAAGTCTTTGGAGAAATCAAACAATAAGGGACAGATATTTTTCCCTTCCTGCCTTTCTCCCTCCTGACATCAATCAAACTAGCAAAACTCTAAAAGAAAATAACATGGCATGACACACGCACAGTGAGACAGGCAGCACGCACTGCTGGAGCTTACACTGGTAAAGCAATCTGGCCACACATCAAGATGTACAAAATGACTATAGCTCTTTGACCCTATAACTCCACTCCCGGAAACCTGCTCCCAGGAAATGAGCAGAAAGGAGATCAGCCACGAGGACATCCCCCACAGCTCTACCAAAACCCTCCTGGCTCCCCTACCTGTGATATTCCCTCAGGTAGGCACCCATGCACACTTGCTGTCCTGGATCCCCCCACCCTCCTGACCTGGTGAAATCCTACCTGGATTTCAAGTCTCACTTTGCACAAGACTGACTGGGCTGGAGGCCCCTCCTCTGTCTCTCAGAGCACTGGGCCCATGCACAGCAATTACCCACTTACTTGTCAACCCCCAGCAGACAAGAACAGGAATTGTGTCTCCTCTGTCGGGCTCTACTCCCCCATAACCTGCACAGGGCCTGGTGCTGAGTGGGTACATGACACACGAACTAAGGGGGGTGGAGAGGAGGACGATGTGCTTCATCTAACGTCCTGACATTTGCCCACAGGCATTCCAGACAGAAGGTAGGACTTACCGACATGAAGTGGAACCTGAGGACATTGTCGATCCCTAGTGCTTTCAGCTGTAGGATGACAGGTGCCAAATTGCTACGCTGCATCTCAGGGACAGTGCATTGAGGCAGCTTGTCAAAGGCTTCCTCTGAGGATAAGAAATCAGAACTGTTTGGGGTCAAATGCCACAATCAAACACAATCATTATGCCCAACGGACAGTTTTCCTTCTCTAATGAGAGGCTCTAAGACTCTAAAATCAGATGCATATGACATCACAACACAAAGTTGTTTCATATTTAGAAAAGACCATTCTATTTAAGAAGTATCTTAGCAGTTTATATCTTTATAAATAATGTATCTTTATAAAAATCTGTTCTCTTACTTTAGAATGCTTTTTTAACATGCTTTTTGTCAGCAAAACATGAAATCAAAGAAAGAAGTATGTGTTGGACCACTACTGGCACCCAGGCACCACTACCCCTGCCTGGGGTTGCACTAAGTCTAGAAGGCAAGAACCGCACATACAAATAAAGAACAATCTCAAAGTAAATCACCAAAATGGTAACCAGAACATAACAAATAACCAAATCGTACAAAGAGCAAAAATTGTCCAAATCTAACTTTTAAAACCAACAAGCCAGGCATGCATCATACTCAGAATCTGATAATGTCCCAAGCAGATCAATGAATGCTTGCATGCCCCATCAGGAATAAAAGATGACTTCCAATAGGAAAAAGCATACAAGATACAGAGGTGCCAAGATGGGAGGGGCAGGAATGGGGGAAGAGAGGAAGAAACCTTGGGAGGCCTTTTCATAAAAGCCTGGCAAACAGGGCAGGGGGAGGAGGGAAAGAAGGGATTAAATCACTTTTGTACATATCCAGAAAGCTTACGGATTATATAGAAGATGCTCCGCCCACAAAAATCCCTCTCACATCAGCCAACATTTTAAATGTGCTCACCCGCCTTAGCACTAGAATGGACCAAACCCCATGTAGATCATAAGGCTTTAGTTAACTAGAGAAAGAAAACAACAAGTATCAAGAAGAAACAGCACTATAACTGAAGATTTTTTCAAAAAGGTTATGAGTGAACAGACAACCAGTGTTCCGTGGACAGACTGGTACAAATGGCCAAAGGCACAGGTCTAAGTGGGAGGTGCTGAAGAACAGGCAACAGCAGGAAGTTCCACATGGGATACTCCCTTTGAATTTTAAGAGCATTTTGGGGAAGGCATTTTGGTAGGATAACCACATTTTCCAAGCATACTTCTGACAGAGGGAGAAGCAAAGTTCTCAGTAACGAGGACAAACCTGCTGAGAAGCCACTCACATAAAGCCAGTGCTGCCCACGAGTTCATGACATTCCATTAGACTCTACTGAGGACCCAAGTGTGTCAGGCCCTGGGTCAGGAGCTGCAGGTGCAGCTTCCAGAAGCTTCAGTGATATGAAAGGGTCTAGGACAAAGACCAGAAACAGTAACCTCCAAGACGGAGACCCAGTGAAGGGAATGGAGGCTCAGGGAAGGAGGAAGCACAGTCACTGCAAAAAACATTTGAGGTTGCTTCATGAGGGAACTACCATTTGAGAGAAGGATGTGAAGGATAAGAGGGATCTGCTGGGCAGAGGGAACAGCCCAAGGAAGGTATCAAAGATACGAGATGCAGATGTAGGAAAATAGAAAGTATGTTCAGGAAGAGCAGAGTGCAGCTGGGATGCAGTGTAGGGCAGCTGTGTGGACAGTGGGAGAATATGAGCTAGGAAAAGTCCTGGAGGGTTCTGGGAAAGTTAAGGGACTAAGCAGACAGCACTCTGCTCAGAGCTACACTCTGAAAGCTCATGGAAGCCAGTCAACCAAGAAAGCCTAGAGGCTGGAGGACAGTGCGCCCCATTACTGTTGGGTTAACCCTACCCAACCCCACTCCACCAAAACTGCTCCTGCGACAGAGCCAGTAACCTTTCAACCAAATCTACCTACCTGTCTTTAGGCTGCATTCTGTACTTTATTTCTTTGGTGCATAAGATAATGCTGGCCATTTCCTCTTTAAAAATCGCCTAAGTTCTTCAAAAAGAATTCAACATAGAATTACTGTATGACCCCACAATTCCACTCCCAGGTATATGCCCAAAAGAATTAAAAACAGGTACTCAAAACACACATTTTCATAGTAGCAACTATCCACAAAAGGCAAAAGGTAGAAATAATCAGCCAATAAATTAAAAAATTTGTGGCATATCCATCCACAGAATCCTAGTCAACCATAAAAAAGAATGAAGTACTGGGGCACTCGGGTTGGCTCAGTCAGTTGAGTGGCCAATTCTTGATTTTGGCTCAGGACATGGCTCATGTCCAGAGATCCAGCCCCATGTTGGGCTCTGCACTGGGTGTGGAGCCTGCTTGAGATTCTCTCTCTCCCTCTGCCCCTACACTCCCTTTCTCTCATTAAAAAAAAAAAAAAAAAAAGAATGAAGTACTAACAGAGACGAACCTGGAAAACATTTAGCATTCATTATGCTAAATAAAAGAAGCCAGACACCAAAGGTCACATAGTGTATGATCTCATTTATATGAAATATCCCAAACAGATAAATCCATGGAGACAGAATAGACTGTTGGTTGCCGGGAGGCAGGGAGAACTGCGGAGAAACTGCTCAATGGGCACAGAGTGAGGGAAATATTCTAAAACTAGACAGAGGCAGTGATACATGTTGTGAATGTAATTAAATCCCACTGAATGGTTTGATTTAAAACAGTTCATTTTAGGGGTGCCTGAGTGGCTCATTTGGTTAAGCATCTGCCTTCGGCTCAGGTCATGATGCTGGGGACCTGGGATCAAGCCCCATGTTGGGCTCCCTGCTCAGCGGAGAGTCTGCTGCTCCCTATGCCCCTCCCCCTGCTTGTGCCGGCTCTCTCTTGCTCATGACCTTTCTCTCAGATAAATAAATACAATCTTTATAAATAAATAAAAGTTAACTTTATGTTATATGAATTCCACCTCAAAACATCTGTTTTCTCTTCCCCAAATTTCTGGATGCCTTTTAACCTTGGTTCTCTCTTTCCTCTCCCATCATTCCTCCTTAGCACCTTCAGTAAGATGCTCATGTCTCAGGCTCCAACTCCCTCTCCTCCCATGGACATCCTTAACCACCCACTTCCTCCCTACCAAGTACCTGTACATTCCATTCCCTTTGCTTGGTGCTATTCCATTCCCTTTGCTTGGTGCTATCCCTTCCCCTAGATAACCACTGGGTGGGCAATAAGATCAAGCACAAATACTCAAGTGTGAAGCCCTCCCCAGTGGTGTAACTCTCTGCTCTCTGCTTTCAAGGCTCATTCCGGAATGGGAACCCTCTCATGCTATAACATGCCGATCTGTTTGCGGGGTTGCCTCCACTACCTGGCTCTCCACCATGTGCCCACAGATTACATCTCACCTAGCCCAAGATCTCCAAACCCCGGCACAAAGGCTGGTTTACAGCAGTGTTCTGTAAACATTCGCTACAAGAAAGAACAGAGTCAAGGACTGAACAAGGTGATGGTTATCAGAAGGAAGAAAGAGACAAATAACAAAACCCTAGGATCTGGGAAGTGAGTGCAGATGGATGTTGGACAGAGCAAGAGGATTAAAAATGATGTGAAAATTAAGTCTGGACAACTGAGGAGAAATCTCAGTGCCATTACCCACAAAGAGAAAGAGAAAGTAGCTCTGGACACATCACTGTCAAAGGCAAGGCTGCCTTAAAGCTAGAGAGAAAGTTTCTGAAGGGCTGGGATGGTCTTTATCATAACTTTATCTTGCTCTTTTAGAGCCTAACATGGCGCCTGGCAGAAAGCAGGAGCCAAACAACTATCTGCTTTCTATCAGTGGTCTCAGGAGAGAATTTTCGCTCTGCAAAGATGCTCTGAACCAGAGGCAAGATGGAACCCACTGTGAGACCCAACAGGAATCAGGATTTCTTGTTCTTCCCAAAATAAGAAAGCACCATGTTAAGCTGAGGGAAAGGGAAAACAGGACCTGAGACATGTGGCCCAGGCTACAGGGTCACAGGGCTATAGATCTACACTGGGCAGGTCTACACCTAGACATCAAGTTGGAATGGGAATGGCAGTAACTGGGGACTCGTGGGCCAGCCTTGGCCAATGAGAGCAGCAGCAGAGAACTGCTTTGTTTAGACTGAAGAAAGTAGCAGGGGCAAAGGACAGAGGGCCTCGTGAGGGGGTCTGGATTTTATGTGCAGTTCTGCCCATGAGGGGAACCATCCTGATGCTCTCCAGGGCTCAGGCTAACCATGAGAAAGTCAACAGCCCTGAAGGAGCGCCACACTAACCTGTATAAAGGCGGTAACATTTTCCTGAGCGGCTGCGGCCAGCACGCCCCGCGCGCTGGTTGGCTGACGCCTGGGACACTGGGGCCACCACCAAGCACTCAATGGCTGTCCTGGGATTATAGGCACGGAGCTTCACAAAGCCACAGTCGATCACATACACAATCCCGCTGATTGTAATGGAGGTTTCGGCCACATTGGTGGCCACTATCACCTAAGTCCCCACAGCAAGAAAAGTAAAAAGAGAAGATGTTTGGTTCTTTTCGCTTTTAAAAAACTACTCAAAATCCTCAAAGATCTATTAAAGATATTTCCAACAATGTAGAATCTGTAAGAGGCAGCTGAATATACTGGAAAAAACAGGAGTTTTAGGGCCAGGGGGTCCCGGGTTTGAATTCTCCCTAAGGTGTAAGGTGGTCCATAAGGACTTTGGACAAATTATTTAAATTCCTGCAGTCTCACATCTACATGTACATCTACAGCCTTCCTGGGCGGGGGGGCGGGGGGGCATCAAACGTGAAATACAAGTACAGCCTGGTGCTTGGTCCATAATAAATGCTCAGCAAATGTTTGTTTTTGGCTTCTGTACTAAAGGAAATCATCACCTTGAACATCTTTATTCATTCACTCACTCACACCTCAACTATTTCCTGAGGGTCTGTACTCTGCAGGCACCGTTCAAGGTGCTGGGGATGTATGATGAGCAAGAAACACAAGGCCCCTGTTCCCCCAGAGTCTGTGAGTATAGATAGCATTTAGAACTTTCTAAAAAAGATTTTATTTATTTATTTATTTATTTATGAGAGACACACAGAGAGAGGCAGAGGGAGAAGCAGGCTCTTCCCAGGGAGCTCGATGTGGGACTTGAGCCTGTACCCCAGGATCATGCCCTGAGCCACAGGCAGATGCTCAACCACTGAGCCACCCAGGCGTCCGCATTTAGAACTTTTTCTTTTAAAAAGATATTTATTTATTTATTTATTCATTCATTCATTCATAGAGACAGAGAGAGAGAGGCAGAGACACAGGCAGAGGGAGAAGCAGGCATCATACAGAGAGCCAAACGTGGGACTCAATCCAGGGTCTCCAGGATCACGCCCTGGGATGCAGGCGGCGCTAAACCGCTGCGCCACCGGGGCTGCCCCGCATTTAGAACTTTTTAAAAGCACTTTTACATCTGTCATTTTATAAAAATCTTCCGACCATTTTCATATAGTAGACATTTAAGATTTTATACTAGAAAACCACTGGTCCAAAAGTTCTTATTTATGTTTCACCGTTGAAAAAAAATGGGGCTTGAAGTTAAGTCACTCATCCAGACACAGAGTAACACAGGCACAGAATCCGGGCTTCCTGAACGGTTGGCCACAGTTCACGTTTGACTGGGCAGACGAGGTACTGCATCTCAATGGCATGAGGCTGAACACCTTCTTCTAAGTAGTCCAAATTGAGAATGGGATCCTCAGACCACCCTTCCCCCTACTTACTCTCTGCCACCTGCTGATAAACAGCTACAATAAGCTGGTTTGGGGCCAGTTCTGTGCCTTCCTCATCTAATGGGAAGGAAAGCCAAGTAAGGCCCAGGGGATGATAACCAGGATGCAGACTGGCTGCCTGCTAGCTCCTTCCAACAAGTGCTTCTCACCATACCCTTCCCCAACCCAATTTCAAGGCTAAATATTTTTCAGCCACACCTTGAATTAATTGATTTAAATTTGGCTCTACAGGCTAACCGGTACCATTTGTAGTAACTTCTCTATTGTTCCTGACTGATCACAATTCACCTAGATGGTCATTTAAGCCAAGCTAGTATTATGCCATGGGGAAATACTGAGCAGACAGTAAAGAGGTAAAAAGAAATCACTTGCTGTATTAACTACTTCTGTGAGGCAGGTTTAGAAATCTCTGCAATATACTATTTATTGTGTGCTTTTAGATTTATTGCGCAAAAGCATTGACCTAAAGGTCTTAAAGAAACCTTATTTAGAAAGTTTCACTTCAATTAAAAAAAAAAAAAAATCCTCCTAGTGCATAGGGAAGGGGCCCCAGCATGACCACAGCTGGCAGCAAATAGCCCTGGTCACTGGGCTAGTCTCACCTTTCTGACACTGCGGGACACCCTTTCAAACACTTTCATTTGCTCAAAGGAAGGCAGTCCTGCGTACATGGGGAGAACTCGGAGGTGTCTCTTCATCCCAGTTCGACCTAGCGCCCGAGCCTGCTCGATCAGCATAGACACAACAGTTTCCACCTCTTCCTAAAAACATTGAACCAGGGACAAAAAAACCCGAGATTAATCTGAAGCATGTCATTTTATCAGACTTGAAAGAAAATGAAAGCTGGGATAAGAATTTTAATTGCGATCAGATTCACAATTTCCAGTGTAATCACACTCTGCTCTGGGGTGGTTTTAAATCAAATGCTACTGAACAGTGGTGCCTATGGGGTGAAAATTTTCAAGTGTCAGATTCATTACTAAAATCTATACTATCTGCGGTGAACAGAAGAGCTCCCAATAAACAAAACCAAGGACTATTTCACTCAGCTTTCATGTACTGTGGCAAACAAAGCATATCATACATACAGACAAGCTGTGACATATAAAATCGCTATAAGCTTTCCCCAGAAAAGATTACTCTACCATGGAAAGTGTTGACGGTGGAAAAGATTATGACTGGAGGGTGGTTCTGAACAGCACTCTGACCGTAAGTGAGCACTCTGGTTTGTTCAGTTGTCTTTCCAGAGATGTGCCCACTTACCACCTCCAGGATGAGCAGCATCACTGGGAAAGAGGCTTGCAGTAGTAACACACATGCACAAAATGTACCTAACGCAACATTTCATCGTGGTAAACACAACAGCCCATTGACTGCATCGTTTACTTTGGAATCAACTAATGAGTTTAAAGTATATCGAATCCTCTGCAGACAGAACAGGTGGGAACTAATGATTCCCTGACAAGCTAGTCAGTAGATGAATGACATCAATCCAAACAATTTTCTACGCAATTAAGTAATCACAAAATACAATAAAACATGAAATGAATGGCCAAGTAATAGGCCTTTGTTAAATTTTGGTGCTGCCTTAACGTGTCTGTTCATCAGAGAAAATTCCAGTGGAATTACCTGGCCAGTCAGAAATGCTAGGATGTCTCCATCTCCCTCTGTCTGGTGAATTTTCATCACAGTTTCTACAGTTGATTTGATATAATCTGGAACAGGACTGAAAAGATGTATGAGATACATTCATCACTAGAACATACTCATTAATTATAAATTACACTAACAATCTGGCAGCAAAGCCTCATGAAAGTTAGTCTGGGCCTGCCTGGCATGTAAAGAGTACATGAATAAATAAACATTCATTTCCTTTTTTCCTTTTTTTTAAAGGCAGTATTCAAAAGTAATCCATAATTACATGTATACCACGAAAGTGCTTTATTTGCAAAGAAATAAAAACCCATGCAAATAAAAGTGCTATCTTTAGCAAGCAAAGAGGCCTGGTCAATGAAAGTTGGGGGCTGTGGTCCCAGTGCTCAATCTCATACTCTTTCCACTTTCCCTCCTAATCACTGGCAGCATGTCTGAGTAGAGTGTTCAGAGCTAATGGATAGGTTACCCAGTGAGAAACTCAGAAGTTAGACCCATAACGCTCTGGATTTATCAATCACTGTACCAGGCTTCTGGTCTTTGTCTGTCCGGTGACTAGGTATAGGAATTAGGATAGTCCCTTCCTATCTAAGGGGGTTCCTCCCAACCATGTCAACCAGGCCCCCTTGCTAATGTAGAGCACTAAGAACCAAATGATTCAAATCATCACTGTTGCCCTCATAGACAGGTAGCCTTGTAAACCTCAGTTCTGAAGATTATCAAGCCTCCTCCCTATAATCTTGTTACCACTTTGCTCTTTCCAACTGAGCTACTGGCCACAGACTTAGAAATTTGCACTTCGGTGTCAAGAGTTTCAAAACGCATTCAGCGTGGTATTGAGCAGGATTCCAGAACATCCTCTCAGACAGGAGACACAAAACATGCTCCTCTCAGCAGCCCAGCATATTGCCCTTGAGGCTACGAGTAGATACAGTGGCTTCACATTCCATAGCTCAGGCCCCGTTTGCTAATCATCATCGTTAAAAATAAAGTATCATCAAACCTTTGTAGATAAAAGATATCCACTGGAAATGTTCGCCCTTCTACTGTAAGGATCACACATGTATCCCTTGTTGGGTCACTGGTTTCATTCTGATTAAAGAAATCCCGGAATTTCTATTTAAAAAAAAAAAAGGACACTTCATTTCTCTCAAAAAAAAAATGATTTGTTGTTACATAAAGAAAGAAAATAATATAAAACTGACAGAGCAGGGGTTGGGTAGTAGAGATTGGATATAACACAGACTATCAGTTACAAAATAACTACTAAAAATCCTATTTTTATTATTGCAATTTTGAGGAATCACATTTCAACAACAGACTCTTTACTAAACTTTGATAAAAAATAATAAAGGTTAGATTTCAAAACTCTGTTACTCACCAATACATCTGGGTCCACCTGTAACTATGGCATTACTTATTTTTATCCCCTGTATTTTATTTAACAAAAAATTGGGTCCAAAGATGTGATTCAAATTAAATACAGTTTAAATCAGGTTGATGTATAGCTCTAATCTGAAAAGCACATATCTGATTATCAATTTACAAAGAAACTTTATATTTCTACAAACACTAGCTATGATACTAGTGTTACAGTAACAGATATATATTTATTATAACCTTCCCAAATTTTAGGCAGGAACAGTTTTGGCAAGGACAGTGTCTTCTCTATCTTTCCATGCCCTGGGGGAGTTAGCACAACACTTTTAGGGGGAAGTCATCCATTACACACTTCTCCAGCACTCCCACAGTACACTGTGAAGAGAGGTAGCTCCTGGCAGCTCCTCTAACAAAGGTGGCTACATCTTCTCCCATGGCACTTGACTACCAGACTGGCAGTTTATAAGTAGGCCTGGCACAAGAGCTCTGGCCAAAAATGGGCCAGGAAGATAGCACTGATGATCCCTTCTCATGAAATCTGACCTGAGATACACAGAGAAGCTGGCAGTGAGTGCCTGAGGGGGAGCTGCTGTGTCAGTGGCAGAGGGACATGGAAATCCTGTTGGGTCAAGTATGTCATCCGATTCCCACCAATGATATTCCAGTATGATCCCTGAACCCTGGCTGGGCATTACTTTTCATTATCCTAGGAGGTCTGGCTAGGAGAACACAAGTCCTGCCTCCTTTATTCCTCATGTATCTTTACTGACCATGCTGGTGCCTGCCCTGGACACTGGGAGCCAGGGTACACTGAGGACTGCTTCGCATACAGAGCAATGGACATGGAGGAGCCCTTCTACAAGAGTTGATTGAACTACAGAATAGTGGGATGCTATAGGATGCTATACGCTGACCTCAAAGTTGTATCTGAGAAGAGTAAGCACAGACATAAAAGTGCTCCATGCCAACACAAGAACCATGCTGTGCTATGAAGAACTCCATGGCACTACTCTTCACTTCCCTTTTGGATCAAGTGACTTCAGCCCTCCTGTGCCCTATGATGTGATACACAAACAAGTGAGAAAAGACTGCTCCTCTACACCCCAAAAGAGTGAATAATCCAGGGGGGATGGGCATATGAGGAACCAATCAAAATACAAACCAAGGCAAAATGACTACATGACCAGAAAAAAGCTGTAAGTTATTCAGAATGAAGGTCAATGGCTTTCAGGGAAGGCTTCATGGAGGCAGCAGTACCCCCTGGCAAAGCCTGGATGGATGAGGAGGACTATACTGGCTACGAAGAAGAGACAACCCTTCTATGGCTGACAGCAGAATGCAGACTAAGATATAAAGGGCTCACCAACAAAGGAAAGAGCCCAAGGTCCAGGGCAGGCCAGCCCCGCTCTGAGTTGTTCTCTCATCTACAGAAGGACAAATCGCTATCTACCCTGTGTGGGCCTGCAGTCAGCACAGGTCTGGCCTAGAATGTGTACTCAGGAAGTGATCATGCTGTCTGTCACTCTGAAGGGGCCCGAATGTCATGCTACATGGGCACTTCATCTGATGAGCCAGACAAGGGCAGTGAGGATGGGCATGACATCCTCAGACCTGTGTTCTGGATGCCTGGCTCGAGTGGCCACTTTGGAGGAGGGCAGGGGCAGTAAGAGAGTGGAGGCAAGCTAATTCAGGAAGGTACTGGAATAGCTCAGAGGAGAGAATGAAAGCACTTGATTTCACTTGGCAGGGGCCTAGTGAAAGTGAAGCCTATCAGAGGTATGAGTGACGGGGCCGGGCAGTCAGTGAGCAAGAGCGCACGCATATGCACGCTGGGGAGAATGGAGTTTCTTCTTTGTCAGGGATAACACCTCCCAAAGCAAAGTAAGTCTTGAGCCTGAATGACCTCGATGAGAGAGGGACTGCCATAGAGAAGCCAAAAGCCACAAGCCTCACAGGGCTGTGAGTCTGGACAGCTGGTGACCAGCTGCTAACAACTCAGGCTGGAGCACAGGATCACAGTCAAGCCGGCCACCAGCACAAAGCGTCGGCTGAACCAGGGGCCATGGAGGAAGGCAGCCATGAGGAAGAAGAGCAGCCAGCAGAGGAATCTGAGGGGGAAGTCTCAGGGAGGCAGGAGAAAGGGGAGACGACAGGTATCCAGAAGCTGCAGAGAGAGAAGGAGGACTTTAAGAACGACTTGGTTGAACAGAGCTGCATGTTACCAAGAAGGCAAGCAGAACAGGGAAGATGCAACACCTCATTCTTGACTATGTGGTGCTGAATACAAAAGACAGGAAGTTACCTTCAAGAAATAAATTCAGCATTTACTGAGAAAGTGTGAGATCTTTGTCCTTAAGATATTTATCTTTTATCTTTACCTGGAAATATAAAATACATACAGAAAACTACAAGCTAGAGAGCAATCAGTGGCATACGCCTTATGGGCAGAATGAAGGAACAGCAAGAGTGAGGTGAAGGTGAGTCCACCGCACCAGGAAAGGAGAATGTGAGTCAGATTTCAAAGAGGTGGGCGCACACTGACTGACCCAGACCCACAACAAGGAACATAAAATGACAAAAAGCAAGAGGACAGTCAATGAAACAGAATGTAAATGATGTGGACATCTGTTGGGCCATCTCCCCAGCTCACCAGCTAGCTTCCTTCCCTGGTAGCTACTCAGACCTGACCCATATAAGTGGGTTCCCAACAGCCATGTCTACACAACACGTCCACCCTGGGCCAATAGTCCTTGGTCCATGCAGATGGGTCCAGAGGAGGACCCCAGCCGATCCCCTATCTCTTCTCTAAGAATCTGGAAAAAGAAATTAGTTTCTCTCCAAGAAGCTGGACCGATGACAAAAAAAAACTGCAGGAATTCTCAGCAACCCTATTTTCTGGCATGTGGATGGAAGCAAAAGAAAAACAAGAGCTTGTGATATAATGGTCAATTAATACTTCATAATTATATCTGATCATGTTCTATAACTGCTCACATAATTAGGCTTACATTAACAAAGCAGCTAACCTAATCAAGGCAATGATGTGATTGGCCCAGTCATATTCCACCTCTGCCTCCTAGCCTCCATCACTGGTGTCTTTACCACAAGGCTGGGTCACACCCTGGGCCCTGAGCGAAACGAGAGCAGAGGGCATCTATCCCTCCAGGCAGTGGGGCTCAGAATTAGTGTACCACCCACAGACGTAGAAGCTGGGGTGCCAGGAAAGGGGTGTGGCACTTCTGGGCCTCCACGTCCGACACTGCCCAAGCCACACCCTGCCATCTCCACTATCCTCTCTCACCCACCTCAGCCCACTGCTTTCCCTCCTCACTCTCTTACTCTCAGGTGGGGACTCCCACCCCCACAACACACACCCTCAGTCACACAGGACAAACTCCTGCCCACTGGGTCCCCCCACCACACACACGGACACCTACACACACATATGCACACCTATACACACATGGGCCTCACTTCCCCCCTCCCAGGGGAGGCAGTGTACAAGGATGGGTGAAGGAGTGAAGGCCCAGCATGCTGTGTGTCAGAGCACTTACAGACCACAGCAAGTTTCCTACACTCCACTTTCCCACCTGAAAAAAACTACTACCAGAAAGTCTATCTATACCATGGAAAGAAGTCCTTTTTTAAAATCTCTGTGCCATACCAAAAGACAATGAAAGGGGATCCCTGGGTGGCGCAGCGGTTTGGCGCCTGCCTTTGGCGCAGGGTGCGATCCGGGAGACCCTGGATCGAATCCCACGTCGGGCTCCCGGTGCATGGAGCCTGCTTCTCCCTCTGCCTGTGTCTCTGCCTCTCTCTCTCTCTCTCTCTGTGTGTGACTATCATAAAATAAATAAAAAATTTTAAAAAAAATTCATTGAACCTAAAAGCATCTACTCTGTGGTAGACAGTAGATTTAGACTGTTTAAGACATTGTTTTAGGTGAAAGAAAAAATAATGAGTAAGACACTCAAAGTCCCAGTCTTCACAGAGCTTCTATTTTACTGATGGGAGACACACAATGAACAAACATCTAGCTCTGCATGTAATGTAGGTAGTAGTAAGTGCTAACCACATCAGAAGCAGCAGACTAAGATGATGCAGGGCAGTAGGGCCCTATTTTAGTCGGGGTAGTCAGGAAAGGCCTCTCTGAGTAGAGAATACATGGTCAGGACTGCACTGAAATGAAGGAAGAGCCATGAGAACATACGGGATAAGGGTCTAGAGAGGGTCCCCCCCAGAGTAAAAGCATACTTGGGTTTTTCTGAGGAATAGTGAGACTAGAATATAAGCAGCATGGGAGAGACTGGATGTAGATGAAGTCAGAGAGGTGACAAGAGAAGTGACTGGAGGGCAGAGACTGTCCCCCACACGCCTTGCAAGCAAGGTAAGACTCCCACCTGGACTTGCCTCCCAGCCCCTGGGATGCATGGTTTCACACCCCTGTGGCTCGGTGCATGTTTAGGACAACCTTCCCAGCCCTGCACAACTGGCAGACTTCCATGCATCTTTAGAACCCAAATGGAACATCTGACCTCTGTGAAAGCTCCCAGACATCCTCCAGCCAGCTAGACTTAAGCAGACCCCTCTGTGGCTGTCTCAGCACCCTGACATACTGATCTGTAAACATCTATTTATGTGTCTGCTTCCCAAGAAGTCAGGGAGGGTTATGAATCACCTGTAGCCAGCATGGCACTGAGCATGTATGTATATATATTCATATATTTATATTTATACACATATATTTATATAAAACAAGTAGTCAAAATTATTTGAGTTGAACTGCTGTTTTGAACTAAAATATTAACTGGTAAGAGAGAAAAATAATGTAAAATGAGCCATGAAAATTCTAACATGTAAATTATATATGCAGGGAAAACTTCAATTGCACACCAAAAAATCTCAACCTAAATGCTACAGTCATAAATAAATTTCAGCAATATAACATACTGAAAAAAAGTAATAAAAGGAAACTGCCTATGTGGGAAGAAACACAGTATGTAGAGAAACAAGACAAGTAGGTAATTATGAACTCAATTAATTACAGGCTAATTTCTACCCACAAGCTAAAAAGGAGTATCCTCTGATCATATGGAATCTAGGACATCAGATGGCCCCATAAGGTAGGTAGGCCATTCTGTCAGAGATAAGCTCTCGCTAGAGGTATGTCACAAGGATATGTCCAATACTTCCAGTGCTTACAGGGGGCAGCCGGGTGAAGCGGGAAATGCTCATACCTCTGCATCCAGAGTGGCTGAAGCCACAAGCAGTCGAAGATCCCCTCGCTTTCTCTGAATCTAAAAAAGAAGGCATTAGGAAACAATAAAACAGGGTGATACGTACAGAAGATAGTTTGGTACCTGCAATTTACTTCAGAGTAAATTAGTGTGTGTGTTTTTGAGGGGTCAGTCGGAGCTTATAGATGAAACAAGACTGACCAAAAGTTAAAGTCACAGGTAAAAAGGTGGGTCATTACACTATTCTAATGGTTTAAGTAGTAAATTTTTCCAAAATAAAAAGTTAAAAAAAAATGTTTCTATAGAAAGAATAAAGGAGCTTTAAGAATTAAATTTGAATTTAACAAAAGTAAAACCATTTCTTCCTGATAGCTGGGTCTCTGGATAGTCAGAATCTACCTACACTCAGTTGAAGCATGAGAAGTACATTAAAAGCAAACAAACAGTAAGTGATAATAACACTGAGACAGAAATACTGACAAAACATCTTAACAGTTATTCAAAGAAAGAAATGATCAACAGGCAGAGAAGAAATGATCACATAAACTATAGCAAAAATATATAATAAAAATGACATTACTTTTTAATCTATCACACTGGCAAAGATTCAGTGAAATAAGCCTCTTATTAGACTGTTCCTAGGAGGATAATAAGCAGGTGGGAAAATCCCTCCTAAGTATCAAAAGTATAAATCTTTGGCCAAAGAATAAAATAATGAAAACAACAAGAACAATGGCAATTAACATGCACTAAGTTATGTGCCATTCCCTGGTCTCCGCATACAGCTGTGTCATATATGTGCTGCACAAAGATGTCTGGCTGAAGAGGCCAGAGGCATCTGAAGTCCAGAACACCCTCCCCTCCCCTGGCTGTGGGCAGCCTCCTAGTGTGGGCACCTTTCTCTAATTTGTACAAAGGTGAGACTTCATAGTCTCTTTGTGACCCTTAGGTACCATCCTAAAAATCTTACGTGATCTTATTTGAGTCCCATAATAAAACTAGGATCCAGAGTAGCTCTGTCCAAAAGAGTCCAGTGACGGAGAAGTTTTGCCCAGTGCACTAGCCACTAGCCATGTGTGGTTACAGAACTCTTGAAATTTAGCCAAAGCAACAGAGGAACTGCATTTTTAATCTTATTCTACTTTAATTAATTGAAACTAGCCATAGGTGGCTAGTGGCTGCCATACAGAAAAGTATACTAGCACAGATGTAGAGACTTCTATCATCCCCATTTTAGAGATGAGTAAACTCAGCAGAGCCAGATTTTGAACCCAGGCACTCTGACCCAGAGTCCATGCCTTTAATTACTCTGCTCTACCCCCTCATTCTAGACTCCTGTGATTGGGAATATATCCAAAGAAAACAATCAGAAAATACAGGAAGGGAAAAGGTATGGCTGAAACAAGACTGGCCATGAGTTGTAATAGTTGAATACAGATGATGGGCACAGAGGAGTCATTAAGTCCTTCTCTTACCCTGTAGTATGTTTGAATAAAAAAATTTAAAAAAAAATAGAAATACAATAGATTTCATTACAAAGATGCTCACTGCAATATTATTTAAAATGCTTCAAATGTGGGGCGGGCACTTGGGTGGCTCAGTCAGCTAAGCATCTGACTCTTGATTTCCACTCAGGCCACAACCTCAGGGCCCTGGGATCGAGCTCCACATTGGGCTCCCCACTCAGTGGAAAGCCTGCTTGTTCTGTCTCCCATTCTTTGCCCCTCCCCTTATTCTCTGTCTCTCAAATAAATAAATAAATCTTTTTAAAAATTTAAAAATTAAAAAAAAAATATTTCAAATCTGGAAGCCATACAAATGCTTACCAGTAAGGGAAGAGTCAAATACTTTATGGTAGAGACATGATTATATAGACATTACTAAATATAATATCTTCAAGGAACATTTAATGACATGGAAAAATGATCTTAATATTAAGGGAAACATACAAGATACAAATTAGTACATACAGTCCAATCCCTATTAAGCCAAAACAGATGCATTTAACATGCAAAAACACAGGCAAAAAAAGAACAGAAGAAACACACCAACACTCCACCAGTGATTGTCTCTGAATGGGTAGAATTATGGATCATTTTAATTTTTTCCTTCATATTTGATTGGATTTTCCAAATTGCTACAATTACTTTCTTAGTCAAGCAGTAAAATAAAACAAAAACACAAAAACAAAAGTCTAGGCAGCGAAGTCACACCTTTTTCAGCAAGCCAATGGCAATGTCTGTGTATAAGGTCCTCTCATGGGCTTCATCCAGCATGATGGCACTAAGAATCAAAGGGAAGATTTAGTGAGCATCAAACAAACCACCCACATAATCTCATCCAGATTATCAAAGGGACTTCTGCATATCTAATCCCTGAGCAATATACCTCGTATTAAAAGTAGAGCTAAGTAACTTCTCCTTGATAAGGAGGGAAGTATTAAGGTAATAAAAATGGTGATATCAACATATCTTGGTGAAGAAAACAGTACATTTACTGCTATCTTTAAAGAGTTTTACAACCCACATTGGATTCTAATAGGACTTAATTACCTGATTTTAAATTACAATATAACATATAACCTCAGAGAGCACATAAAAATCAGAACAAGGCCCCTCCAAAGATTGTTAAGCATCAGAGAACAGCTGTGTCATGTGTGTACCCGGGAAAAATGTAACATCCTTTCCCAGAACACCACATAGCCTGTTTGGGACAGTGTTAATGCCATGAGTAATGGACAAAGACACACAAAGAGGGAGACAGTGTAAGTAAATATCTGGACTCTGCATATCACATTACACAAACACTGTCCAGTAACTATCGATCCTGGGACATAACAGAGGAAAGATAAGTATGACAAGTCAACAGATTATTCAAATAATGACAGGGATTTAAATGTATCCATTTTTTACTATTAGTAAATTCTGAGAAAGCAACAAAGGCCGTAAGAGCCCACATAAACAGATAAGCTTTAGGGCAGCTGAAGGCAGTCATTAAGTCCCAGCTATTAACACAACTGCTTCTCAATCTACTTGGGTTTTTTTGGAACTTCAGGGAAGTTATCATTGGAAAAATACATTTACCTATATTTTGTTAACAATGGATCAACCATCATTTCCCTGACCAACATTCCATCAGTAAGGAACTAAAAAACAAAAACACAAAATTTTAGAAATAATTCAACTATACAACAATGATTTTTTTCAAAAAGTTCAAGTGTAACCAAATGCATACAACCTTCACCAGTGTGTGGACAAGACAATTCTGCAAGGAAATGCCCCAATGCTTTAGTGATCAAGCAATGGAACTGTTTACAAACAAAACTTCCATGTTGGGGTTCTCAGCTGGGGCCTGCAAATTTTGCAGAATTCCACCTGCATTTACTATCTGAACATTGGCTCAGCCCATTTTCTCTGGGCCTATACTACTGGTACTGTGGACAAACAGGCAGTGAAGACGATTCTTATCTGCACAAAGGAAGGCCATGAGTCTGAGATCACTGTTCTTAAAATATCTCAAAAACTGGGATCCCTGGGTGGCGCAGCGGTTTAGCGCCTGCCTTTGGCCCAGGGCGCGATCCTGGAGACCCAGGATCAAATCCCACGTCGGGCTCCCGGTGCATGGAGCCTGCTTCTCCCTCTGCCTGTGTCTCTGCCTCTCTCTCTCTCTCTGTGACTATCATAAATAAATAAATAAAAATTAAAAAAAAAAAACATTAAAAAAAATATCTCAAAAACTGCATATCTGCAGCTCTTGAAGTTCCTAACTTAAGCTTTGACTGCTATGATCTTAAGGAGGCCAGACAGGGCTGTGATTAAGACCAGAGGCCGTGGTGTCAGTAGGCTGGGAACCCAGATCCTCATTCTGCCTCTTACTAGCTGTGTGAATCTTGGGCAAGTTACCTACCCTCTCTGAGCCTGAGTCCTCATTTGTAAAATGGAAATAATAAAAAAGTATCTACCTTCAGCAGGTTATTGTGGGAATTAAGAGAGATAGTACATACAGAGTTCAGCACAAGACCAGGCACACAGTATTTAAGAGGATCAGCTGGGCAACTGGGTAGCTCAGCTGGTTAGGTGGCCAACTCATGATATCAGGGTCGTGGGACTGAGCCCCATGTTGGGTTCTGTGTTCAATGGACAGTCTGCTTGAGATTCTCTCTCACCCTCTCCCTGTGCCCCACCCCACAACTCCTGCTCACCCGCACAGGCACACTCTCCCTCAAATAAATCACCTTAAAAAAAAGGGGGGGTATCAGCTATTACTATTTAGGATTAATGAATGTTTATAAAATGCTTGAGAAATAAGCAGGAACATGTTATTACTGCACCCAAAATAACTCAGTACTTGAACAATGCTAACCATCTTCCCCACACTAAGCTGTAGCTTAGTGTCTTTACTTTTTGTTACGCTTTTAAGAACAGGATACATTTCCATCACATTGTTCTTGGGCCTGGTACCAGTTGCCACACATACAGCAGTGAGAAGGAGGACCTGCTACCAATGACAGGCACCACTTAAGGGCACAGCGCCTATAATGATGACCAAATCAAATACAAAAGCTTTTTGTGAAAGACTCAAAAACAACCATTTGGTTATATAAGCCACTAAAAACTATCTACTTTAAAGATATTTGATGGTACAGAAGAATATCCCCTTTACCCAGCAAAATGAATCTCAAAGGTAACAAAATACAAAAATTTGCAAAATAAGATTCCTATTTTTATAAATCACTACCTTGTCTGGTTCATCTGTTTATTTTCAACTTTCCTCTGTGGAAACTGAGAGGAAACTGAGATTCTTATAACCAGTTTCCATTCCATTGTTTTGCAGTACCATCTAGTTAGAATGACTCCAGCACTGTGCTCCAGGGCGGGCACTGCCCTGATGATATACTGATAACTACTGATACTACTCAGTCCAACAGTAGCAACTGGGTCAAAGAACACCCAAGTAAAATCCACCATCACGTAAACATGGAAAAGTTCTAACTCATGAAAATAATATTTGTGAATTCTACGCTTTATCAATTTATACTGCCTTGTCCCTGTTTTTAAGTCTTTTACAGGCAAATTTCTAAATTCTAACAGCTATGTGGATTGGTGGAAAAACCATAAAACACATATAAGAAAGGACAGCCTTGGGTCTTGGTTCTACCACCAAAGGGCACATATCTCAGGCAAGTCATTCAACCTTCCAGGTCCTCAACCTCTTCATCTGTAGAACCAAAAGCTCAACATTCCTTCCAAAGTCCCTTCTGGGCTACAATTCAAGGACTCTCTGAGAGAGCTCCGTACCTCCCCCACACACTAAACTCCCTGAGGGCAGGGTGATTTCATACACTTTCTGTCCTGGTATCAGAGTCCCGGTGGGCAGTGATGCTGCATGTTTTTAATTCTCCCCAAATAATCTTCCTGGTTCATGGTAGGAAAAGCAGAGTGAGCACTTCACCTTGATTCTCGTGGCCAGTGGATCGGTGCAGTCATCAAAGCGGATGCAGTAGCCCACCTCGTGACCCAGCACTGCACCCCTTTCCTCAGCTACTCTCCCTGCAACCTTTGGGAAGAAAGATCATGCTGAAAATAGAGACATAGAAATTACTGCACAGAGCACATACTATGGAAAATCTAGCATTTTTTAAATAAGTATGTGAACACAGTGGAGAATGAGAAAAAAAATGAGTAGGTCATTAGAGAACGAGCATGACTTATTCACTTGTGTCTCACTCCTCCTTCCTCAACTGACTTGGAGCAACTTATTAACTTAATTAAGTATTGTATAACAATAAGCAACACGAATGGAATCACATAAAGATGTTACAGATCAGAACCAAAGATATGGCAGATAAAATTCAGAAGATCAAAGCCAATGAGAAAATTTTAAAACAGAGATATGCCAAATTATTTCAGTTGAACCACAAATTCAGCTCGGCATTTTCTGGCAGCCAAAGCAAAGAGAGAAAGAAATGACAAGATTCATCCCAGTAAAGCAAACCAACTGGGGACAAATTTTCACATCTTTGTGCCTCAAAATAAAGTAACTTCCACTGGACCATAAAGACAGGAGAACAGAAATGATCAAATTCAATACTGGGCCAAGGTCATCTTCTCTTTGGAGGGAAAATAATGATGTTTCCTGAGCCAGATAACCTAAAACAATTTGCAACAGAGCCCCAGCTACCCAAAGCATTTAAAGGGGACATAAAGAAAAGAATGCAAGTTAAAAAATAAAAGAAAGGAAAAGGGGGGGTACACGAATGAGAAGGTTAATGAAGGATCCAAGTTAATATAATAAAGTAAAAGCAGAAAACAAAATACATAGTAATATATTATAAAGACCACAAATTACAGATATATTTTTCACTTACCAATATATGACAAATAAAAAGTGAACACAAAAAAGAGAAAACAAAACCCAATGGCAAGAACTCCTACTATCTCTAGAAGGCTATTCAAAGGTTATCAACTTATTAATAGAACATATTTGAAATGATGAATAAACCAAAGTGGAAGAGCAGTAAAAAGAAACTATAGAGTTTATCGTTCATTATTACATAAACTATCTAACTGAAAACATCTCAAGGAAAACCATATTAGAGAGGCTTCCTGGGGATCTGACACACTGCCCCCGATGTGAGGCATGCAGCTGATCTCCCCCTTCCACAGGTGAGGCCACCTCTCCAGAGAGTCTGGAACATGGCCTGGCACAGGAGGTGTCCTGAGGCACTGTCCTGCTACTGCCAATGAGCTGCAATAGCCCCAGGGTCAGGAGCCCAGAGACTCCCTGCACTCAGCTTCCCAGGCTAAGCACACCAAGAGTTATCTGGCCACTGGTGTTCAAGAAACTGAAGAGCAGATGAGGATGAGAAGTGACTCTGTCTAACAGCCTCAAATTACAGATCTGGTAGGCCAAAACAGAATCGGTTATTACGAAGCTGATCCACACCACACAGTCTTTAAAAGCACCTTATGAAATCAGAAATTCGTCCTACATTATTGGTCTACCTCTGCAGGTTCTATTTCCTGCCAACCAGGATTTCACTGTAAAAATTTTGTTATTGCTTCAATTTCAACTCTACGGATCATTATACTATAAATCTCAGAAAATGGTACAGATATAAAATGTGTACATAGAGCTCTACAAGGAGCTATGGGAAAAGAGGCTTGTAACAATGAACCAACCCTCTCCACCAAAATTTTATGGGTTTATAAGACAAAAGCCAAACATATTTATTCTTATGATTTCACTGTTTATATACATTTGCTATAAAATATATTTTATTTTAAAACTCTTTTATTACTTTTTCATGTATGATTACACCACTGGACACTTGAAAGGTCATAATCTATTGGCTTTTTAACAGATTTAACAGATTTTTACCTCTACTATTTAAGTTTTACTCCCATAACTTTATCAATTGGACTGGATAAATACTATCTATTTGACCAAAGCAAATAACTACAGGGAGGGAGGTCAAGAGAAAAAGAAAACCACTCACTGAGCACTTACCACCTGTAGGTTCTATGCTCCAAGTTTTCACAAAATGTATCTCACTAAATATGCATGTAGCCCATGAGGTAGGCAAGATACCCTCATTTTTATAAAGAAAGAAACTGAAATAAGACAGGTTTAGAGCTTGTTTTGAGTCACAGGTCAAGGAAGGGCCTGGTCTGGAAGACAAACCTAGACCCTGTGAGTCCAGCAAACAAGCTCGTTAGTAAGCACCTTCTCATGGAGATCAAGCAATGGCTCATGCCATCTGTTCTTAAGCTCTGTGACAGTTTTCAGAGTTTAGTCTGCATACAGAGTACTCTTTGAGATGTAGCATTTCAAACTTGACAGCTCTATTAATACTCCACCATTAATTTATACACTCTTTGCTCTTTTCAAGAGAAGGCATGGGGTTTCATGGATGTTATCCATAGCTACACATTTGGAGCTAAATGCAAAGTTGATTAAGAGCTAAGATTCCCAACTACAAACAGGAAAAATTGCTCTAATTTCTTAGTAACTGAGTCATCTTCTGGTGACATAAAAGGTTAAATCTAAACACTGCAGTGTAGTTTCCCAACTGTTATCTCTATATTTACTTACGCACACAAGACTTAGAATAACGTCTATCAATAATTTCTACTTTGAAGATAATCAGAAAATGAACTCTGGGAAAAGCCATTATACAATAATTAAAAGTTAGTACTGAACAAAAGTAACTCAAACAATGGAATTAATTTCTTGTCCAGGTAAGGATGACAAAATAAAGGTACCCCCCCCTTCTCTGAGAGCTCATTTAAAACAAGAAAAGAAATTAAAATTAAAAATATTATCGACTAAAACCTTCATCTTCAATGAAAGAAGGAAACAGCCACAAGCCCAAGCAATAAACTAGGAAGCACAGCTGCCTGTGAGGTCTGTGAGGTCTGATTCCAGAAGAGAGGCTCCAGCCTCCTCTCGCTTTCTTTTTTTTTTTTTTTTTTTTTTTTTTTATTTACTCATGATAGTCAGAGAGAGAGAGAGGCAGAGACACAGGCAGAGGGAGAAGCAGGCTCCATGCACCGGGAGCCCGATGTGGGATTCGATCCCGGGTCTCCAGGATCGCGCCCCGGGCCAAAGACAGGCGCCAAACCGCTGCGCCACCCAGGGATCCCTCCTCTGGCTTTCTTAATGTAGGTATCACCACCCTAACAGCCAGGACAGACAATCTTTACTTTTCTTAAAGCAAAGAAGCAGGGATCCCTGGGTGGCGCAGCGGTTTAGCGCCTGCCTTTGGCCCAGGGCGCGATCCTGGAGACCCGGGATCGAATCCCACATCGGGCTCCCGGTGCATGGAGCCTGCTTCTCCCTCTGCCTGTGTCTCTGCCCCTCTCTCTCTCTCTCTGTGACTATCATAATTAAAAAAATAAAAATAAAAAAAAGCAGGGCAGCCTGGGTGGCTCAGCAGTTTAGCACCACCTTCAGCCCAGGGCCTGGTCCTGGAGACCTGGGATCAAGTCCCACGTCGGGCTCCCTGCATGGAACCTGCTTCTCCTCTGCCTGTGTCTCTGCCTCTCTCTCTCTCTCTCTCTCTCTCTGTGTGTCTCTCTCATGAATAAATTTAAAAAAAAAAAGAAGAAGAAGACAAGAAGCAACAGTGTGTTCAGGCCCAGAAGACATAGGAAATGTCTCAAAAGAGATCCATTTTGATAGCAAACAACCACAAGGGAGAAAAAACTGAAGGAGAGGCAGGGAGTAAGCAAGTATCAAGTCCTAAATCAGAGAGCCCAAAGAATTTTATCATGAGCCATTATAGACCTCTACAATCACTAATGAGTACACCTCCAGATCCTCATCCTCATCCTGCCCCAGCAAAGAAGGATAAGAGATTTGGTGGCAAGCCGTGTACTAGCTAATATGGCACAACCTCACAATGCTGCAGCCATCAGTGGCCCAACTCAAAGATGAGTAATTATTATCAAAGTACTAACACCAGGCCACTATAGTAAAGCTGACCAAGAAGAAAGACAGGAACACAAGGAAAATAGCAGTTTAAAAAGAAATGTTAGTAGTATTTTTCCAGAGAAACAAGTGGAATTTAGCTAAAGGAATCCAGATTCAAAGAAACTACAAGCTTAAGCTATAAACAGCTTAAGGAAGAAAGACAGAGTCAAAGTAGAGTCAAGGAGAAACAAGGTCTGAAATGGACAGGCCAGAAGCCAGTCTATAGAGGTCCCCCAAATCTCAGAGCTTGGATATGACAGACACCTGAGAGGCTTTTCTCAAATTTGAGAACAATCCTCAAATTTATACAATGCTACAAACAACCAGTTATAAAGTTAAACTCTTCCACAGTGGCAATAATAAAAAGCATATCTAAATCAACTAAGCTGGGGCAACTAAAATATTGCTCTACTCTTTCCATAAGAAAAGAATAGAAAATCACTGTCATGTGAAGAGGGGGCCCATGGGAAAGTCCAACAAATTCAGGAAAAAAAGAAGTTACAGAAATGTGTCAGGCAGGGAGTACCTGTGTGGCTCAGTAGGTTAAGCATCCAACTCTTGGTTTAGGCACAGGTCAAGATCTCAGGGTCATGAGATTGAGCTCCAAATTGGGGTCTGCACTGAGCATGGAACCTGCTTAAGATTCTCTCTCTCCACCCACCCCCCAACCCTGCTCACACACTATCAAAAAAAAAAAAAAAAAAAAGAATGTGTCAGGCAGTTAATAAAATATGCTATGTTATTTTCTCTAGATTTTTAAAATGCTTATAATATTATCAGCTTTTAAAATCTGTAATGTATTGTAGTATCTCCTCCCATTCTAGATATTCGCTTCTCTTTAAAAAAAAAAAGACAAATAAGTGACTATGAGACCCTGGTAAAGATATAAAGGAACTAAAACAGAATACATTTACCTAAAAACAACCATGGACATTGTAGACAAGCTTGGAGACATCTTAGAAAAGAAATTGGGAAAGAACAAATGATTCCAAAAATGGTAATAAATACTAAAAACGGACAAAGGAGATCTAATACACACTCAATTGATGTCCTTAGGAAAAAGAAGAAAATATATGCCAAGATGTAACAGAAGAAAACTTGAGATTTGAACCTGAACACCGAAAGTTCTTCCGTATTTAGGAAAAAAATGAGACAGGACAATCAGCATCAAGTTATGTCCTGGCACAAAATCAAGCTTACAAGCATCCAAGCCGGAAAAGTGAGCCAGAAAAGAAGTGGGGAGAAAGCCCACTGGAACTCAGACTTCTGCATATGATCCTCCATGTCAAAAGGCAGTGAGCAATGTCTGCACAGCTCCCAGGAAAGAGAGTGTGAATAAAGTATTTCATAACAAAGACCACAATCAAACATTCTCAGGCACTGAATATAAAATTCAGTCAATTAAGAAATAAGGCAAGATGAGCCAGTCAAGGTTAGCAAACCATGGTAGAGAATTAGTGAGAAACACTGGATCTGTGTAACTAAAATTAATCAGTTGCAGAGTTTTGATTACAGAAAAGAACTTTTATTTATAACCCTTGAAATATAAGTCATACCATTGCATCTATAACAAATGGAGGGAGAAAATATAGAAAGAATTAAGTGTGCCTTTGCTCTTTTGCCGCAGGAAACTACCTTTAATAGTTTCAAAAACAAGTAACATCCTAAAGCTTTCTGTATTCTTGTTTCTTAGTTTTCAAGCTTCCATACAGTTTCATGTGGTGAACAAATATTTCTCCAAAGTTCAGTAACTACTCCTGTTCACTTCAGTTTCCCCTTTTGTGAAATTCAACAAAACCAAATGTACGCTGGCATATCATTTTTGTAGAATTACTACTACCCATCCAATGCACCATTCACTTTTATGTGAATATAAGAGTAAAGCTTGGGATGATGTTCACAAATGTTCACAAGGCTTTGGCTGAGTTGGTAACATTGTCATTTTCTCATTATTTTTTGTTTTAACTTCCTCTGTACTTTATTACTACTTAAAAATCTGTGATGTACAGGTATTGATTTTACAAAAGTAAGTACATCAGAGCTCTTTATAAACTGAAGGATTAAACACTTAAGGAGCCATGCCATATTCACTTGGGGCTTTGAGGAAACAAGAAAAAATAAGTTTCTGAAACAGAAGACGCAGATGGAGATTTCTGCAACATGGAAAAGAAACTCACTGTAACAGCAGCCACTCTTCGAGGCTGGGTCACTCCCACCACTCTTCCCTCTGCAGTCCAGCCAGCTTCTGCAAGATACTGCAAATAAAACCACACCTAAGTATGCATCTGAAACCACTTCTCCAGAAACAATTTCCCCCAAGATAACCCTGTATTATGTTAGAATCCCTGAGAAAGTTAGTACCAGATGGTTCTTATCCTCGCAGACAATTTGGAAATTATTTTGCAAATGAGGGATCTAAGGCTTAGAAATGTTAGGTAACATCAGAGCTGATATTCAGAAGATCCAAGGCCCAAATTCAACATTCTGACTCCCCAGTCTTAACAAATTTCCAGGTACTAGAGATGCCTAAAGGAATAAAAACTATCCATGGGCCACAGGAAACAGTGCTAAATCTATAGAATGAATAATTTTAAAGTACATACAGAGACAACTCAGTTTTATATCAACCATACAAAACATTTTAGATTAATTAAAAATAACTAGATTTTGTACATGTTTATATAGCTATCATATATTAATACACATAGAATTCAATTGTATTTATCTGATTTATGCATTTATTTGCTATATATATTCATTTGTTATATAGTCATTTGACCGTTACATTTTTAAAATCCAAAGTGGATAATAGTGGCTATCAGTGTTACATATTTTTATAATGTCTAAATTGTTTCACAATGAATATATATTTTACAACAGGAAAAGAAGGTTAAAAATGCTACATGTACCTGCTCATTTATTCAAAAGAAACAAGGGAAAAAAACTAAAGAGAATGATTGTCTATGGAGGATTGAGAGAAAAATGGAAACAGGGCAGCAGAGGATGAAGAGGAAGTGATAATGCTCTGAGTAGATGTTTTTGGGTAGCTCTGACTCTTAGAGCCAGTCGTGTTTCACGGCTCTTCAAATGCCCAAAACATAAGCAAAACCAACCAAGATGTATGCGAAGAGAAACCAAGAGAAAATACAAACGCTAACAAATGGCCCCTTCTGTAATACAAATGAATTACAGGATCACGCTGAGGGGGTTGGGGGGAGACAGAACCTAAGCAACTGGAAAACAGTATCTGGACTGGAGACTGTAAAGCCAAAGACAGAGAACTGTGATCTAGTTAGTAAATGTTGGTAAATAGCCAAATGGGGGTATGGTTGGTAATTCTAAAACTATTTTATGTTCATACTAGAATTCAACAATTAAGTTAACATACTGTAAATAATGAAGACTGAGTTTCTCACTGTAGGAGAAAAGTTACAAATAAGGAAAGGCTAAAACGAACCCTATGGTATTGAATTACAATCAGAAGTATCAGCATAGGGATGCCTGGGTGGCTCAGTGGTTGAGCGTTTGCCTTTGGCTCAGAGCGTGATCCTGGGGTCCCAGGATCAAGTCCCAAGTAAGGTCCCCACCAGAGGCCTGCTTCTCTGTGCCTACATCTCTGCCTCTCTCTGTGGGTCTCTCATGAATAAATACATAAAATATTTTAAAAAAAGAAGTACCAGCATAAATTCATGGTTTGTAATACATATACAGATTGCTATAGATATACAGATATTTTTATGTAGGGATTAGTAGTCATATATATATTTCCTAAATCTGCCCACTGAGACTTACAGCAATGACACTTCAGTAGCAATGAGCACCCTAGCACCCAATTCTTGATTTCTAAGTGCCATTCTCCAATAAAGGAACCAGGGCTCCTTGGAGAAGTGTTTGATCCCAGGGCTGCTAGTGCAGGGAAAATATAAGACAAGTCTGAAATGTCCTGTAGTACTAGAAAGCAAGGATACGTTCAAAAAAGGTGGAGGCTTTGAGAAAGAACACAAAGCCTAAATAAAAAGGAGCTCCTAATGATTAAAAAAGAAACTGAAAAAGACATTATTGGATTTTAACACACAGAACAAAATATATATATATATGAATCTGCATTGATGTACATAAATAATAAATAAATGACAGAGAAAAGACAGTTCTTCCTTAGAGAAGAATCCATTTAATGAAGGAAAAAGGGAAAGAAAAAAAGCATCAAGCAAACACCTGAGTAAGTGCTGCAGACAAGATCCGCTGAGGAAAGCTAAAATGAGAAGGCAAAAACTTGAAGGCAAGGGGAAGATCTTCAGTCTGAAAATATCTCCACCCAAGATACTTACCAACTGCAAAGAGAAAGACAGTAACTTTATAGGCAAATCCTGGCACCTGAACCAAGGTTAACCTCAGCAGTGATCAGACATCAGCATCTCAAATCCTGTGATAGGGTACACTGAGAAGGACACACCATTTCTGTGGTATTCTCTCTCAAATCGCACCAGCTCATTCTACCCTACCCATGAGAAGATATCACACAAATCCAAACTGAGACGTGTCCTATCAAATAACTGCCCAGTACTCTTCAAAAACGTCAAGGTCATGAAAGATGAGGAGGACAGAATGAGGAAACTCTCCCAGCCTAAAGAAGACCAGGGAGAAATAACAGCAACCTGCAACAAGAGGTCTAGTATCTTAAAACTATGAAAGGACATTGGGGAGAACACTGAAGAGATGCATATGATCCGTAGTCCAGCCGCTGCACTATAGTGATAGTGATGCCCTGCTTTTGATTACTGTGCTAGGGGAAGTGGTGGGAGAAGTTTACGGGAATTCTGTGCTATTTTTGCAGCTTTTCTGTTAGTCTAAAATTAGCTAGAAATAATAGTTTAAAAAATGATGTAAGGAACAATGTTTTAGATGATGTAGGTTTTTTGCTATAAAAACTGTAAAGTTTCTCTCTCTCTTGTATTGAATACATACACAAAACACTACCAACTATGCCAATCAACACAAATGCAAAAACAGAGCTACAAGAAATAATAGCTAAGATTCACGGACATTATTAGGTGCTAGGAACTATGCTGAGCACCTTGCATGCATAAGCCCATCCCATCTAATCTTCACAACAAATCCTATAAGGAAGGTAACAGCATCATCAACAATTTAGAGATAAGCAAACAAAGAGATCACATTACTTGTCCAAGGACACAGATAAAAATCTAAGAGCTGGGATTTAAGCTTGGCAAACCACAGCCCTGCCACATAACCAGGACACATAATTCTACCATCCAAAATAAAACACACATACTTGCAGTCAATCTCTTAGTAACAGTGGTAAGCGAAAGAAAAATAACTCCCATAATAATAAACAAGCTGCCCATAAAGCCAGTCTCCTTGATAGACCTGTGATTCAGACTCCTGCATGCTGATGACTGCTGACATATGGAAATTTAAAGATGCTGCAAAAGCAAGAATAGTGTTGCTATCAAAAGGCAGTGGATGTCATGCTGGATTCCATCTTTCCTCTTTTTAAGGGTCACCAAATCTGGTCTTCTCATTAAGGAGTGGGATAAGGAAGCACTCCATCAAAAACAGCACTAATAAAAATTATAGCAAAGAGCTTATTTTCATAGTCTATTGTTTTGACAGAGCTCTAGGAAAAAATATCATCTAGGTTCCACAAATAGTTTGTGAAATTTCAAAACTGGTGTTTGGTGCTTCAGCATGCAGTACTTTTCCAAGGAAAGATATTATATAAATCCAGCAAGTCAGTGTGTTGAGAAAAACCTGCTCCACATTCTTGCCGTGACCTTCAGCTCCTCAGCCTGTCCAATTTTCCTAGGCCATAACTCAAATTAGCGTCACAAGAAGTTATGCTGGTCTCAGAGAAGAGGAACTGCGTGGTGAGGAAAGGAGGATGAGGCAGGTATTCGGACCAATAATATAATCATCTATCACAATGACCTAGTCCATTTCACCAGCAAAGCTCAGGAGATTCACTCTTCACCATTTATTCTCCTGAGCTTTTTGAATTTTGTACCATATGAATGTATTCAAAAAACACAGGGCTTATAAAAAAAAAAAAGTTCCTTAAAAGTCATTAAATTCAAACATATGATCCAGCAACTCCATAACTACTGTATTGATTCTGCAAGTATACCCATATATGTGCAAAATTATATGCAAATTGACTCACTACATCAGCGTGATAATACAAAACTGGAAACAACCTAAATGCCTATCAACTAAGAATTAACAAAATAAATTATGTGCAATCTATGTAACTGAAAAATGATACACTGAGTAGGAGAAAAGACAAGGTACATTAAAGCATGTATAGATGCTACCTATTTGTGTTTTAAAAAAAGATACACACACACTTGTTTGTAAGTACAGTGAGAAAATCTCTGAGAAACTAGTACCATCAATTATATCTACATAAGGGAAAGGAGCATCAGAAGATACAGCATAAGAGAAATCTTTCTCTTTTGATGTTCTTTCACATCTCTTGGGATTTTAAACCATGTGAACTGGGACGCCTGCCTGGGTGATTCAGCGGTTGAGCGTCTGCCTGTGGCTGAGGGCATGATCCTAGGGTCCAGGAACAAGTCCAGTATCAGGCTCCTTGTAGGGAGCCTGCTTCTCCCTCTGCCTATGTCTCTGCCTCTCCCTCTGTCTCTCATGAACAAATAAAATCTTTTTGAAAAAATAAACCATGTGAACCTATTAAATATTCCTCCAAAATTGAAAAAAAAAAAAAAATCACCTTTGTTTGCTGCCACATTGCCCAGGCTGGATCTTCAGGCCCTGTTCTTTCACCTCCAGGCCATTCTTTGCCTAGACTTGCCCCTGAGCTGGCCCTCTCTGTTCCCTGGCAGCTAAGCCTTGCTGGGGGAAATGACCAGATCATTATGCTATACTGTACTGCGGATCCAAATATCTGCCACCCACCCCTGTGGGAGGACTCCACATACCACCACCCCAAGGCTATCAGGGCTGGCAGTGAAACCAGCACTGTCCAATGAAACATGAGCAAAAGTGCCACTTCTAGTCACAAGCTCTGAAACTTGAACCATCTCTTAATCCTGCCATCTACCCCCAGACTCCCAAGTCCCAGATAAGAGCTGGGTCATCATCCTCAGTGACCATATGGAGCAGTCATCTTGGGTCATCACCCCAAGAAGATCACATGGTAGGAGAAAGAAATAAACCCTTGTGTTCTTATGCCACCAAGATTTTCAGGTTCTTTGTTAACATAACATAGTTATGTTGAGCTGACTGAATAACCATACAGACTTACTCCTAAACAAACTAAGACCGTCTCACCTCACACATAGCCCATCTTTCACTTTCTATGTTCCCTCCTCCACATCACTGCTCTCTAACATCTTCGACTGTCAAACAGATAGTATCAGTACCTGCCACGCAGGGTCACTGACGATTAAACAGATTAATACGTGTTAAGTGCCAACTTTATGTAGCACTTACTTATTACTTGTTTGATGATGATCGTGGTAATGATTATTACTGCCCTCTGATAATCTCTCAGTAATTCAACATGGCCCTTGTCCTGTGTGTCTCTGCAAGAAGCTAAGTAATTGGCTAGGGTTTTGATACCACCTGCACAAATGTTCTCCCTCCAGGCCACCCTGTGCTCTGTTGTCCTTTCTCTACTGCTGTCCATTCCCACTGATACCCCTCCCTAGCTGCACATTACATAACCCAGGGACCTTTTAAGAAATAACTGTGTCTGGGCTACAGCCTAAATCCAGTATTGGGTTGGGCAGAAGAAGCCATATTATCTCTTTCTACAAGTTCAAAAATAGAATTAATCTATGGTGTTAGAAGCCAGAAAAAGGAATACCCTTGTGTGTCGAATAGGAAGCAGAAAGAGAGGGCAAGAGACCAGAAGGAGACACAAGAAGACTTCTGGGGCTATGGTAATGTTCTGTTCCATTTCTTGATATAGGTGCTGGTAATGTGTATTCGCTTGTTGAAAGTTTATCACACTGTACAATTATGATAGAAATAATCTGTGATATACATTTCATACTTCAGCAAAAATCTACATTAAAAAGGAAAGAAAAATCTGCAATGACTCTCATCCCTGACCACTTATACAGCATTCTTCACTCTCCAAGTTAAGACTCGTAAGACAAACTTTGACTTCACCTTGTCTTTCCATTCTTGCTGAGTCCCAGACCCTTCTCATACCCCAGTATCTCTGACCACAATACTGCCTGGATGAGAGTATCTTCCCAGCCAGCTCCCACTGATCGTTCAAAGTCTACTTCAAATGTCATTTTTTTTACAAGGCCCTTCCCAATCCTTCTGTCCACATTTGTCCACACAAGCAGAGGTTTGCTTGATAATAGGGGCTCCTTCCACAGCACCATGTGATTCTTTGGTATTCCATTTTTATTTACAGCTAGAGCAGTAGTCATTCATTTCACCCTCCTCTTCAACTGTGACTACTTGAGGACAAAAACCAGGCATTATACCTCTTTGAAGGAATACCCACAGTTCCTTTCAGAGCTTGGCTATTCAATCATTATTTTGGAATAATAATAAATCAAAAATGAACGTTACTTTGAAGCTAATCAATCACAAGAACCAAAAGTTGAATAAAAAATATCTAGTGGGATTGAATATTTTCTCTATGACAAAAGATCTTTAAAAAGCAAATTATAGTAAAGAGAGTTCTCAAGTTACAAAATCCTTCCAGCCAAATATAAGTACAAAGACACATTTAAGTATATACTTACTTGTGGGATCTGTGTGCTTTTCCCACATCCCGTCTCTCCAACAATCACCACTGTCTGATAGTTTTCTACCAAGTACAATATATGATTCCTAAGCTGAAAAATAGAACCATACATTGTAAAGAGCCATGCATTTTCTCAAAAGACCTAAACAAAGATATTTAAGCATTATGAAATGAGCTGTTTTCCAAAGTAAATTTTAAAAAGAACTATCAAAATATATTTCTAACTTGCAGTGCTGGTGTCCAGATAAGCTGAAACAAGTGCAATTGAGAGCAATAATTTACCAAAATATACAATGCACATACCCTTTAATTCAAGACTTTCACCTATATGAAGTTATACTACAAACATACTAATGATACCTATGAACAAAGAGGTATATATACAAGCATACTCACTGAAGTGTTCTTTATAATAATTCAGCCTAAATGTCAATCAACAGGGTGATAAGTCAGTTATGAAACACTCCATTAATGGAATACACACAGGTATAAAAATAAAAAATGTCCATAGGAAACAGAGTTGCTAGAGAGAAGAGGGTGTGGGGGGATGTGCTGTGTGATGGACGTTAAGAAGGGCATGTGATATAACGAGCAATGCATATTATATAAGACTGATGAATCACTGAACTCTACCTCTGAAACTAATAATATACTATATATTAATTAATTGAATTTAAAAAAAGAACGAATGTCTATTTGATATGGAATGGTCAACAAGATATGTTAAGGGAGGAACGTACGATGCTAAACAGTAAATAATACACTATTTGAGTTTTCAAAAAAAGGACACATATATGCTATGTACAAGCTATCTTGCAGAAAATAAAACAAAAAACTGGTCATTGTACCACTTCCAGGAGCAGAAGAGGGTGGCCAAGGAGCAAGAGTGTGAAGAAGACCTTTACATTTTGTACAAATTATGCATTGTATCTAATTATAAAGTCGTTCATTTATTAACTGGGGAAAATAAAAAAGCCAAAAGAATATGCTGTTGCCTCTACCTCTAAATCTAAGTTCAAGGGCACCTGGGCGGCTCAGTCAGTTAAGTGTCTACCTTTGGCTCAGGCCATGATCCTGCAGTCCTGGGATGGAGCCCCACATCCAACTCCCTGTTCAGTGGGGAGTCTGCTTCTCCCTCTCCTTCTGTCCCTCCCCCAACCTGTGTTCCCCCTCTCTCTCTCTCTAATAAATAAAATCTTTAAATAAATAAATCCAAGTTCATAATAAAGCACCTATAGGTTACATCTATATTTCAAGCCTTCTTTTTTTTTTTAATTTTTTTTTTAATTTATTTATGATAGTCACACAGAGAGAGAGAGAGAGGCAGAGACACAGGCAGAGGGAGAAGCAGGCTCCATGCACCAGGAGCCTGATGTGGGATTCGATCCCGGTTCTCCAGGATCGGGCCCTGGGCCAAAGGCAGGCGCCAAACCGCTGCGCCACCCAGGGATCCCCTGAGCCTTCTTTTTTTACCCTTTTAGTGTGAGCAGAAAAATTCAAGAGATCATTCCAACATTCTATCTGCTTAGCTTTAGAGTGTATTTTTGTCCCCACATTTGCTAAGAGACGTACCGGACGGTCTGGAAAGTCATAAAAGTATTCCATAAATGCCTGGTCTGGGATGAAGTAAACCCTGCCAAGGCCCCCTACTCTGTCTACTGCTCAGCCTGTCTGACTGGGTACTGACAATGTGCTGAGGACTGGGAGAGTGAACATGCTGCCTAATTGGCTCACAAAGGTGTTGGATGCTTTGGGTTTTTGAATTTGGCATTATTTGGGGTCTAAATATATAGTTCTCACAACCTAGCGTGAAACCCTCTTAGAATATTTGCTAAAAATGAAGATTCCTAGCCCTACCCACAGGATTCAACAGGATTAGGGTGGAGCCCAGGAACCTGCATTTCTCAAGCCCCCACAGCAAATCCTGCTGCAGATGGTCTGCTGACCAGTCTAGACCCTTTTTTGTAGGCTGCCTGGACTTGGTGCTTTCTTTCATTCTGGGTAGGGAAAAGTGAAAGGTTTGAGATCTTTGCAGGTATTCTGTGAATGATAGATCCAACCAGTGGGTGGATGGATAGACAGATAGATGGTAGATGGTCAAGGAAAACCTGAAAGACAATCTGATTACAGACAGAAAGAGACAAGGCATTCCAGGAAAGGGAAATGACATCAGCAAAAGAAAGATGGAAACAAGTAAACAGTACAAACTCTATGCCAGGGGCATCATCAAAAGCCCACAAAAGGCTCTAGGTGCGGTTTGGAAATGAGTTAGAGTAGCCCGGGCTTCTCTATGGAAAGCCGTGCAAGCAGAGTCAAGGTCTGGATGGGCTGTCAGTGCTGTGAGAAAACCGGGCGGTGGCATACAAGACTGAGCAGAAGACTGAAGGCAGTAATTCACACCTCACATATTAGATACAAAGGGCTGCACACAGAGAAGGTGAGACATTCAAGAGGGACATGACAACATTTCCAGTTTGGAGACTATGAATAGCAGGGAAATGGAGAAGGGTTGGTGGGGCGGAGGGGACTAACCTTCAGGGAGGCAGCGTGTAAGAGTGTGAGGACCACCTTGCACAGCAGTGTCCAGGCCCCACCGAGAACGCCAGCCTACCAGAGGCAGTCGAGGAGAAGGCTGCCATGTGATGGCAGCAAGGAACAGGGATTGACATTATATATATCACCCCTTTAGTTTCAATTTGTTTTTAAAGCTACTTTTAGTTTTAATGGAGGAAGGATTGATGAATGGGTCACTTTCACCCTTTCTGTCTTCTAGATTTATCTTTCACATCTCATGAGAGCCTAACTATGCTTAAATTCCATTTTACTTTTTACCAAGAACCCATACCATTTTAATTTCCATCAATATGTTAAATCTCGATTACTTTTTCATTTGTTTCACTTATTGTATCTCAAGTTCAGTTGGAGGATGAAGAAAAGTCAAGAAAGGACCAAAATTAAATACTTAGTAAACAATAATTATCTGTGTACTTAAACATTTACGAAACGTCAGGTACCTTGCTAAATGCTCTATGTGGATTATCTCATCTGGGCCTCCTAATGATCCTCTGAGGTAGGTGTTATTAGTCCCATATTAGAGATAACACAGAAGCTCAGATGGTGAAGCAAGGTCACACAGCACGAAAACAACGGAGCTTGGGTATGGACTCTAAAGTCTAACTCCAGAATCTTGATACTTCACCACAGTTCAAACTGTGTCCCTCACCAGTGAGGCAACAATGGTAAACCTATAATCTTATCTCCTGAGGGCCAAACTGGTTTACATTCACACATACTGGACAAAGCTAATCGCCTGAGGGAAAAACCCAGACTGTCAGTGAATGACTGAAATGTCTGGAGCCTCATAAAACTCTAATCAAGGTGACTTGGCTAAATTAAGAAGGATTCTGTTTCAAATCCATTTGGAGAAAGCACATATTAATAGAAGAAGAATTAACATGGTGTAGACAAAGGGACTCCCTTAGCGTAAGAACTTGGCAGCTTTCCCCCAGCACTGGCCAGAAGAGAGAGAGCCATAGGTACTGGTGGCCATACCTACTCAGGTCATTCCAGGGGCATCACATGAGGCTGGGAGAGTGCATTACCTTTCATTGGGGGCTATATGAAAAAAACATTCTTCAGCTCTATCTAAATGGCCTTTGGCCTAGAGCTCACTTCCTGATTCCAATGTGGCTTCCCATGTGGTCTTGGCAACAGGGAGAAAGCAAGTCCATGGACCATGTACGTCTGCACTGGAGAACTACGGCTATAAATGAACATATTCTAGTTTGTGCTTTGGTCTCTTGTGAGATGAACATACGTCCATTCCATAAGACCAATAAAATCAAGTGCTGGATGTGCATGCAATATAGAAGCATCCAAATGCCATTACTATGCCAGTGGGAGTTAACTTCTTCCACAGAAACCTCCTTGGTTACCCAATTTGTCTTGTTTAAAGAAATTGCCTTTAAAAAGCAAGCTAATGTTGGTAATCTGTTGAAGCTGGAGGCACAGACGTTTGTTGTACTATTTCCTCTACTTTTCTCTATGTTTAAATTTGTCCATAATTGAAAGCACAAGAGGAGGTAAAAGAATGACATTCTATCCCTTCCAGTTTTTCAATACATAACATCCAACTAAAAAAAATGTTAGGGACTTTTCGAGATTTACTTATATGGTTAAGTAACACACACATATTTTGAAGTTAATCCCCTCAGAAGGGCAGCTCTGAGCTCACCGTGTTCTACAGAAGCGATAAGAGTAAAGAAGACACTATTCATTTCAGTACCAAGTTTAAGGCCACCGCACCGGGCTTCAGGCCGACCAACCACACATGTTCACTCTGTACCTTGAACACAGGCAGCTTCTGCCTCTGCTGCTCTATAGAAAGGGCAGCGTAGGGATTGTAAACAACAGTTGTCGCAGAGTTTTCAGCTAGACTCTGTCTCTCTTCAGAGATGCTGACACCTGGTCCCTCTGTCCCTGTAACAGAAATGCTTTTTTCAGATTCTCTGATGCAACCAATGGACAGAAAAATGTGCAAACGTTACGAATTCAAAGGCGAAGACATAACACAAGCAATGCATTTTACCTCAAACTACTAAGAGATACTCAACTTCAGGAAAGCCTCTAGGAAAGGACCTGGGGAGAACACAAAAATCTTCCCTAAAAGCTTCACCGCAAGAGCAGAGAGGAGAGTCCCACTGGGCTCCAAGTTGGCCGCACATAACGGTGTATTACAGAGGACCAAGTTTTCAGGTCTGGCCCCCACATATTACTACTCATTACTACTAATACAAGTGACAGAAAGCCACTGGGAATTGGCTGAGGTGGAGGACAAGTGCTACTACCGCAGGACAGCAAGGCCCCGGCACCCAGATGCTGCCTTGGCTTGCTCCTTCTCATCTCAGTGCCTCTCCGCCTCTAAGTTTGGCTTCTCAGTAGGAGCTGGAATCAAGGCCGCTCAGGCTCACAACCTCCCACCAATCCCTTCACATCCGCAAGGACTAGAGCACAAGAGATACCTCAGAGCGACACCCTTGGGCCGCTTACTTGCTTCTTTTACTTCTCCTCCTAAGAACACAGCTTAGTGCAGGGAGAAAGTAAAAGACTGAGGGAGGGAGGCAGGATGTCCCCGGTGTGTGTGGTCTGGAGGCCGGGAAAGAAGGCTTCTCTTCTTCCATCTTAGGTCCAATGCCCAGCCTGATCCAACCAACCATGGCCAGTGGAGCGGGATGCAGTAGACAGCGGCCCCCATTTGGAATCACAGAACCAGAGTCGCTGGTGTGTGAAGTACTATTCCAAGAAACCACTGTGCTGAGCAGATGAAACAAGAGCTTTCCACAACAGCTGCTTGGTAACAACAATGACAAATTGGTGCTCAGGATGGTGAAGAATAGGGAAGCCACATCCCATTATATAAAAGTCTTTAAGGTACCATGGATTTTAGCCTGAGAAGGAAAATGCCTTCAGAGGAACGTGGGTTCAATTTTTATGATCAGCTTCTGTAACTTTCATGCCAACTGGTTTGAGTAGCCCCTTGGACAGAACTAAGAGTGGTAAGTGATATAGGACTTGGAATTCAATGGACACAAGCTATTTTCAAAAGCTAGAGCTATTCAGCACTGGGATGTAATGCCTTTGTGAATCATAAAAACCCTCCCCGGAAGTTCAAACACTGGCTGCAGAGCCTTCTACTGGGGGCACTACAGGGACGATTACCCCAAACTATCATCTCCCAGGCCTTCTGCACTCAGAGTCTGATGCCGTGTGAAAGTACAGGGGCTTTATGACAAGCACCTTTAGCCCAGTGATTTATTTTTACATTTTTGGAGGTCCCTAATCCCTTCAGCAAATCTAATAAAGGCTCTGGACTCCCTCTCCTGAAAAATACACCAAAATGTAACATATTGGGATGCTCATGGTCCATAGACCCCCCCTAGGGCAAAGTTTAGTCATTGCCACATATCTCTAATCCTCTGTCCCTTTATTTCTAGGAACACAGTTATGTTCCAGAGGTCCAAGATTGCCAAAAATCGGGTAAGTGGGGCACTGCTGTATTGTTTTTGCCAAAATGCTGACCTTCCTTTCAACAAGATAAAAGATAGAACAGGACCTGGAACAAAGCCTGTGCTCAAAGAGGCAAGTCTACTTTCCTTTCTTCCCTTATTACCGCCAATTCTTAATAACTTCTTGTAACTCTTCCCCAAGAAAAATACTGCAAAGAATAGCTCATCCTCATCAGCTCTGTTTTTGTCACAAATTCCCTCCTTTCCAAAATGTTTTAGACCTTTACAGTCTGTTTGGACTATGTTAGCATTACTCCTGCAAGGTCTCTTTCTTCCTCCCACACCAGGGTTTATTTAATACATCCAGGTGTCTTCTTCACTACCCCACCCCTCCCTGTCTGTAACCTACAGCCAAGTCCACCTCAGTATATTCTGTTATAAGATGTTTTACAAGAGCTACTGTCAGTCAATAAAGAGCATGTCTCCTCCATATAAAAGACTTCATTCAGCCAAACCAGGACTGCTTCCCTCTACTACATCCCATCATCCATTCTGATTGCCCAGTGTTCCCTTTCCCTCGGGAGTAGTCTCTATACTTAAGGGAGTAACAAGTTTGCAATCTTGCAAACCGTAATGCCTTCATTTCTCCATCTACAAAACAAGGCTGACAGCTGCACTCCCCAACCACCCCCACCCAGCATTCCTTCTACTTTCATTTTTTTTCAGCTCGGTTTTTCAGTTTAACTGCTGCCCTATTAGTGGATTATGAAATTAATGTAGTGGGATCATGATCACCATTTTTTAAAATAATGAAATAGAAATAGAATAATGTTATCTCCTGCTTTGCCCCAAAATATACCCTATCACTTAACAACATCTTGCTATTCAGTTATTTTGGTTTTTTGGACATTCCCGAGACACACATCCCACTTTGCCTTGCTCATGCTACACCCTTTGCCCAGAATCCCATACTCCTACCTCTCCATGGAACAGGCCTTATTTGTGCTTCAATATTCACTCAAAAACATCACTACCATTATGAAGTATTGCTAATCCATACATTCAATCTTTCCCTCTCTTCTGTTGCCTTCAATGTAATTCTAATAGTTAACATGTATCCAGTACTAAGAGCTTTACATGTATTCTCATTTAATCCTCAAAACAATCCTTTGGGGAGGTGTTGTTATGTCAATTTACAGATGAGGTCACTGAGACTCTGAGCACTCAAGTGACTTTCTCAAGTCACCAGGGTAGTAAACGGCAGTCAAGGACAGCTTTACAGTCTGACTCATAAACCCTATCTTCCTTACCACCACTTCTTTCTGCCTTGTTTTAATAGCTCAAGGACATCTAAATTCACATTAAAACTGAGAAAGAGGGATCCCTGGGTGGCGCAGCGGTTTGGCGCCTGCCTTTGGCCCAGGGCGCGACCCTGGAGACCCGGGATCGAATCCCACGTCAGGCTCCCGGTGCATGGAGCCTGCTTCTCCCTCTGCCTGTGTCTCTGCCCCTCTCTCTCTCTCTCTCTCTCTCTCTCATAAATAAAAAAATAAAAAATAAAAAAATAAAAAACTGAGAAAGAGAATAAATATTGAGAGCGGAGCCCCAGCCTGATCATCTCTATTTGCCTCTCGATCACAAGGTTAGGTGTTCAGTTAAGTACACCCTCAACAAATGAACTAAATAATTAAATAGAACTCTTCAAGTAACCACATGCTCTTTAACCAAAATAGTATCCTGTCCTAATTTGCAACAATTCATTCAGGCCTTTATTATACTTAACACTTTGACCTGTTATTAAAGGCTTTAATAAATAAAATAGAGGGTATCTCATCACCTAATGGGATCTTAGTTCCGGCTGTAAATAAAATTCAGGATGGATAACTGGCTGACAATCTGGAATACTGAGTAGAACGGTCATTAAGTGGCAAACTACAGATTTTTAAAAAGAATGAACGCATCCCTTGCTTTGGCTTATCCCCCCCATCACTTATATGTATGGTCAGCATTCAGGGCACCACTCTAAAATACTCTTTAAAAAGTCTTCCTTGGGGCAGCCTGGGTGGCTCAGCGGTTTAGCATCTGCCTCCGCCCTCGTCGTGGTCCTGAGGTCCCGGGATCGAGTCCTGCATCGGGCTCCCTGCATGGAGCCTGCTTCTCCCTCTGCCTGTGTCTCTCTCTCTCTCTCTCTCTCTCTCTCTCTCTCTCTCTCTGTCTGATGAAATAAATAAATATCTTTAAAAATAAATAAAAGGTTTCCTTGTATTACCTTCTCTGTCTCATTTCATTTTTTGCTGCAGTGTACTTTGCACATCCAGGTCTGCAGAAGTGCAAGTGGTGGAAGAAGGTAAGCTGGTTAACTGGTAAGAAATTTAAGGGTTTTCACCGGGGAGGGGAGGAAGTAAGGCATCTCACAGGACCTGGTAAGTACACATTCAATAAAATCCTGATTAATGGGGAAATTAAATCAGGCAAAGCGTTTTGTGACTAACGTTCGTGTTTGCCAGACGGAGGGAAAGTGGGCGGCAGCCCATACGAAGGAGGGTGGTCACTTTCTGGCGGACGCCCAGGATGGGCAAGAATCACCCTAAAACAACGTAAGATAGTTTCCCGTTTTATGAGCGCTTTCTCTGGGTCCGACAAGGCGCCGTGTTCGCTCCCCAAGCCCACAGGACACTTCTTAGTCTACCCATTTCACAGGTGAGGAGACTAAGGCCCACGAGAACCAGGCGGCTTGCCCGAAGGAACCCCGCTCCCTCGGAGGGCAGAGCCGCAAAGTCGAACCCACGCAGCGCCGACTGCGCGGCTCGAGCGGCGGGAACCGGACCCGCGCGGGCGCCCGGCGCTTTCCCAGCGTCCGGCAGGGCCGGCAGCCGAGGGAGGAAACCGAGGCCGGGGGAGCCGACGCCGCAGGGTCACGGGTTCCCGCGCAGGCGGGGTGCGCACGCCCGAGTCCGCCGCGACCACCGAGGGCGCCCGAGCCGCGGAGCCCGCCCGCCAGTCCGGGCGGCGGGGGCAGCCCGCTGAGGTCAGGCCCGCAGGCAGGTCCGCAGGCCCCGGGGCGCCGGCGGCGGGGCCAGCACCAGAGTCAGGCCGCCGCATCCGCCCAGCGCGGGCCAGGGGGCCTTACCGGGTCGCCAGAACCTCACCGGTCCCACGGGCGCAGCCATGCTGGGGTGAAAGGTCACGAGGGAGACTCCACCCCTCCGCGGCGCGGGAGCACCCGGAGGGGCAGGGGGCGTGGCCCGCGAGGCGGCGTCCGCGGCGTTACGGCCACGCCCCCGCGTCCACCGCCGCCCCCGAGCCACGTGACCTACGCCGGCTCTCCCGGAGCGCTGCGGCCCCGCCCCTGGCCCACGTGACGGGCCCGCCATGTTGGGGCGGGTTAGTGTGACGTCAGGGCTCCCGGCGGTCTTCCCGGCGGTCTTCCCGGGGCGCCCCCGCCCCTCGGAGGGGCAAGCCTCAGGGGCGCGGGGGTCCAGCGGCTGCCCGCGGCGTCCCGGATTAACCGCCGAATACCGATTGCGTTACAGGCTGTCCCAGCTTTACTGTCGCCTTTTCAACCTCCCTATTTGCAAATGAAGGCGAATAGGAACTACCTCGTGGGTTTGCTGGTCCGGCAAATGATTATCGGGAGCCCAGGGTTCGCCCGGTGCTGCAGGTTCAGCCCCTTCCTGCAGCTCCCGTCCGAGGCGAGGGTGAAGAACGAGTGAGTGCATGCATGCATACGCTCCGTGACCCGCAGTGTTTATTATTAGCAGCGAATAAAGCAACGGGACGTGGGATGGAAGTCTCCCGGAGCCTTAAGAGGAATGCAGAAAATCAGCTGGGAAGAGAGAGGGGGGAGTAGGAGGCCTGGAAATGGGCGCACCAGTTAGGCTAGGGCGTTGACCCAGTGTTTCCTCCAGCCCGCGCCAGGATCCCAGTGCTTGCTAAAAACACATTCTTTTTTATTTATTTATTTATTTTGTATTGGAGTTCGATTTGCCAACATAGAGCCTAACCCCCAGGGCTCATCCCGCCAAGTGCCCCCCTCGGTGCCCGTCCCCCAGTCACCCACACCCTCCACCCACCTCCCCTGCCACCACCCCTTGTTTGATTCCCAGAGTTAGGAGTCTCTCATGTTCTGTCTCCCTCACCGATGTTTTCACTCATTTTATCTCCTTTCCCTTTATTCCCTTTCACTAAGTTTTATATTCCCCGAATGAATGAGACCATATAATGCTTGTCCATTTCCAATTGACTTACTTCACTCACCATAATACCCTCCAGGTCCATCCACGTTGAAGCAAATAGTAGGTATTTGTTGTTTTTGTTTTTGTTTGTATTTGTCGTTTCTAATGGCTGAGTAATATTCCATTGTATACACAGACCACATCTTCTTTATCCATTCATCTTTCGATGGACACCGAGGCGCCTTCCACAGTTTGGCTATTGTGGCCATTGCTGCTAGAAACATCGGGGTGCAGGTGTCCCCACCGTCCATCGTGTAACGCTTAGCACCCTGGACTCTAAAAATAGATTCTAGAGGCACGTGGGTGGCCCAGTGGTTGAGCGTCTGCCTTTGGCTCAGGTCGTGATCCTGGGGTCTTGGGATCCAGTCCCACATAGGGTTCCCCCAGGGAGCCTGCTTCAGTCTCTGCCTCTCTCTCTCTCTGCGTCTCAAATAAATAAATGAATGAATGAATGAATGAATGAATGAATAAATAAATCCCTTAAAAAAAATTACAGATTTTACACCCTGATCCAATCCCGAGGCAGAATCTCCAGACACATGCATGACCTGCATTTTGTAGGAAGCTCCACAGGTGGTTCTTCCAATCAACAAGCTAGAGAAAGATTCCACTAATCCAAAGAAGAGAGGAAATATTTTATGGGTAGACAACTCATTTGGAAAGAAGGGAGACGCTTCAGAATTTATGCATTTTTTACAGCTGTGAAGAAAACTCCGCATTCTTTATGAGTAATGGCATGGTTATGGAAAGATCGAGGGATTTGGGGATAAGCAGACATGATTTGGAATCCTAACTGCCATTTCCTGGAGCCTACCTGTCATCTAATCTTAGTTGTAAAATGTCTTCAAAGGTTCTGTTAAATGAGATCACATGTAAAATACCTAACAGGGTATGACATAAGCATTCAGTCAACGTTGGCTCTGGTTAGCTCAAATACAGCAAATCCACGGGATGGGTGTGTGTGTGTGTGGGGGGGGTAATCAGAATTTACATGCATACATTCATTTTCCAAATATCCCCTTTATTTCCATAATAAAAAATAAATAATAATAATAATAGGGCTCAATACATAACCTCTCTGACAGGAAATCTTCATTCACCCTTAAAATACCCTTACATGGGCAGCTCTAAGAATACTCTAAATTCACTGGCTTCCCCCTCTGTAGATTCAGGGCCTATGTGCTCACCTTTGCGGTAACTTTTAGTTGAACTATAGTTACATCTGCCTCCACTATTAGCGTGGGGGAGCTTAAGGACAAAGATCATGTCACATTCATACTCAGAGCCCAATAACAAATTTGGTACCTGTTGAGTAATGTATATGTGAACACAATGGTTTATATATTATTTTTAATTCTTCATGACACTGATCCTCCCTGGCTATATTTTTTTTCACTAACAGCTTAAGTATAAAAAATGAGGTTTATTCATAAATACAAGGGAAAATGAAATGCATGCCACTTTTTATTATTTCTATATCTTATAAATTACTCTGACTTATGTGAAGAAGTCTTCCTACTTTTAAAGAGACAGCAGATTGGCCATGCCCAAATTACTGGATCATAATCTTAAAAGCTGGAGGAGACTTTAGTCAATGTCTAGCCTAAATTCTTTTTTATAGAAAAAAAAAAAAACCCTTTGGCTCATTAAAAGGGAGATTAAAAGGACAAACTTTTAATCAAGTTGTCCTTGGTCAAACTCAATGAGCTAATTTTCATATCAGAACTGAAACTAGAATTCAGGCTTTCTAATTTCCAAGCCAGTGGTTTTTCACCCACATGGGCCATTTAAAACCATCAGAGCTTAGCTGTCCTAGATGAGAATTAGTTCACTGGACTCAGAAAGTTCTCAGGGCTTGGCTGGTCCTTAAAGGGTTGTTTTGCTCTCACAGACTTTTATAGAGAAAACACCTAATAACCTAGATGCTGATGGGTGGTTGTATTGTTACAAACTAGGAGTGGTCTTAATAGACTATCTTACCCTTCTTAACTATGTTCAGAAAGATTGGCCTAAAATAACTACTCTAAAATTAAAACTTATTTCTTCAGATGGCATCCAGAATTTACTCACTTCATTGCAAACAAGTCCTTGAAAGTCTGATCATTTTGTTACATGGGGGTATACTTTACAACTTCAGAATGATAATTGGTTTTTCATGAAAGATAATATTCCTCAAAATCATGTTGCATGGATACATTAAAGAAGTTTCTCTGTGTCTATGGTAGTTAATTGTTCCTTTCTGCTTTGAAATATTTCCAGTCTGACCATGTTGGCCATGTTTTAGGAGGCACAGGATATAGGGGTTTTCATCCTTACATCCATTAAGGCTTTTATATAACAAGTGATAGAAAACCCAATCTGTTCTCTCTTATGCAAAAATGGCTCGTACAATTTAAAAAGTCCAAGAGTAGTTCACAGCTGAGACACAGCTGCATCGGGAGAGATAGGACATAATCAAGACTCATTTCTGAGTATTAACATTCTGCCTTCTACTGACATGAGTGTCACATGGCTACGTCAGCTGACATCCCTAGCATCAAGCCTCTTTCTGAAAAATCCCTAGCCAAAGTATCTGACTGATCGTATATCCATCCCTGAACCAATCACCAGGGCTGTGGGATAGGACATACTGACTGGCTTAAACCTAGGTCACACATTCCACCCCAAGTCAGGTGTGGTCAGCCTCACCGGAACCACACAGACCCAGAGTTACAAACAGAAGGTTCCTCAGAGGGAAATCTCAGAGTGAAATTAGCAAAGATGCAATGAAGGAAGCAAAAATAACAGATGTCCATTACACCATCCCTCGATTCTGCGCTAGGACTCTTGACTTCCTAAGAAGAATCCTAACTGCCCTTGGATCTCCTCCATGAAGCCAGATCAGAGAGAGCTCTACCCGAGCCTTAAAAGAAATAATCCTTTGCAGAATTACAAGACACTGGGATTTCCCCACTGGGTCTAGGTGTAGCCCTCTGCGACTTGTAACATCTGCAAACCTGTCTGGTTTGTTGGCTTACACACAAATGAGCAAGTTCACACATGTATTAGCATAAGCAAAAGTGTTACTTAGCCGCAAGGATTGAGTATAGAGGTATGGAGGTCCACCAGGAAAGAGACTTGGCTACCGGGGAGTCTCTGTATGTTGGTCGGAGAGACAATGCCTATCTATACAGTTGGGATGAGTTGGGGAGGGTTCAGACCTGCCAGGTGCTTTCAAGGTAGGATGATAGTATGCTTAACTGTTCAAACTGGACACATCTCTGACCGAAAGGGGGATCTCACAGGCATAAACTGAAACTCTGCCTGGCAAACTGGGGTATCTTTCCAGGCATGAGGCACCAGTGAAACTAGTGTAAAATGCTTATGTGAACATATTTGACATAAGGTACATGGTCCATGATCACAGAGTATTCCTAATATAAACTCATTCATAGCTTTAGACACCTGTCCTGGTGGATCAGTGTCTGGGCACACATCAGAGAAACGTCATAGGGTTTATCATCAGGTTTCTGTCTGAATACTTCACAGGGTCATCTTTATTTTTTTTTTCAAGTTTATTTAAATCTCTACACCCAATGTCTCAGTTCATCAGTGTATTAACTGCCATTTCTCAAGGTACACCCGGTAATGCCTCCACACTCCCTACAGACAGACAGTCGTACAACCAAGTACTGGACTCACAATCTGAAAACCTGTGTTCAACGCCTGCGTCACTGTTAATCAGCCTTGTGACCTAGTATATGCCGCTTCATTTGAGCTTCAGTTTCTTTGCCTGGTTATCGGGAATAACAGCTATCCAGTGATACTTTGCTGTGAGGTCAAAGACAGAACATAGGAAATTATCTCAATCTGCAAATGGTTTCAACCAACAATATGCCTGTGTGAGGCTTAGGCCCAAGTTGTTTACACCCAGACATGAACCGGTTGTCTGGCCAGCCTCACAGCCCAGATT